ATGGTTAACTTTACAAATTTAATAAACTATTTATACCATATCTAGTAGGCTACTACAGTAATTTTCATCTAATAACTTTTATTTATAAACAAAGTTTTTAATAGCTTCTTTAGATTTCAAATGCATCACTTTCTAATTCTAACCATTAAACTCTTTATCTGCTATAGTTTAATGCTATTATTTTCATAGCAGTTTTCATAATAGTATAATCACTAAAAAAGATCAAATTACTCTACTACATTTTTGTAAGTTTGATAATGTCTGAATAAAAGTTGAAATATCCAATTGCAATTTCATCTTCTTGTCACTGAGGGTATGGGACTCCTAACATTTCAATTTGTAACTTTTTTCAGATGGTTAAATTTAAATCACTCAGACATAATACTTTGATATTGATAAAAATGGCATAGATAGACTACTCTTTATATAAATAATAAAAAAAAAACACTTGTTTTAAACATTTGTTTTTTTAAAAGTAGCACTCCCAGCAGTTTCTGCATTTGATTATAGACTAAGGAACCAGTTAATAATTAATAAATGGCCTATTGTCTGTGATTGTATGAATAATGAATCATCAGAGATTATCTGCACAAGTGTTAATGCTCTATCAATACAAAGCACCTTGTGTTTATTGATGAGATGTAATGAATCTGTGTCTGTCCCACAGTTTATTTGTAGGCCTAGGTACTTCTATTGTGGCTTATATTTATAGTTTCATAAAGTTGATTAAAGATAAAAAAAGTTAAATATACCTACTTAACTCTTTTAAATTAGAAATTCCGAATAACGTGAGGGGTTCACTCATTATCCTATGGTTTGGCCCATTTAGGATGATCTATAAAGTAGGGAAATAACAATACAGTAGAACCCCTCATATCCGGCCACCACGGGACCAAGCCCCTGACCGGATAACGATTTGGCCGGATAAACCAACCTACTATGAAAATGACAATTCATACCTAATAATAATAGGTAATCATATATGCAATCAAAAGTATCATTTAATTCTGTTCTGGGATCATTTTTAGAAAAATAAACATGTTTGTAAAAAGGGAAAAAATATTTGTAGGTTAAAGTCATTAAGTAATGAATGTACAAATATGATGATTCCAGGTAACAAAACATAATAAATGGAAGTAAAAATGACAATAAATTGTACTTAAAGATCATTAGGACTTAAATGGTACATGCATTTCTACTCAACATTCTTAACCATTTTGTGAAATTCAAAAATTAATGTACTCGTACTGTACTGTACTAAACCCACTTTGGAAATAATCAACCAACTGATCAGAGGTTAAGCCTACTAGCTCAACTGAGTATAGTATCTCAGCAAATAAATGTATAAACAAACAGATAAATAGTGAGAACAATTTATTTTATGACTTGAGCAGTCACAAAGACTAGTGCTTGCATCTAAGTGTCTGTAAGCTGTGAGAAAAAAATGTTGATTTTGGCTACCTGGAAGGGGCCGGATAAACAGAGGACCGGTAAAACCAAGGCCGGATATGAGGGGTTCTACTGTTGCTTAAATTTAAAAATCGCCCTATAAAGCAATGCAGCTAAATTTGATTGAAAAAGCTTATGGTACAGAAAAATGGTATAAATGTACAGTATTTACTGACTTAAAATTGTTGGTTTATTCAGCAAATTTTAATCCTGAAAATGTTTTTTATATTTTTTCCCTAAAAGTTTCAATAGTTTGTCGGGTTGTGTACAGTCTCAATCCATCTCAATACAAAGCTACACAAGGCATCTCATCTTTCATTCATCTCCGCTGGAAATACGCCCAACTGCGTCACTATTTCAGCATGCATTTCAATACTGTGTGTTACTTGTTCATGTGATAGTGGTTTTCATACAGATAATATTAGACAAAATTACAAATTGTCTGACAATTGTTATATTAGAGTGTAAATATCCAACCATGTTTTATGCAACATACGAAAATATTTAATTACGCTCTAGAGGGATACTCTCCATCCCAATACTGAAAATCTTTTTGTTGAAGTTTCAACAAATGCAATAATACTCACTTTGACGAATGATTATTATGGATCATTAAACTGAATTTAAAATATATAAACCATTTTATTTTAGTATAATTTTTATTATTGGTCTTTTACCGTTGAGAATAATGTGGCACAGTACGTCCGATTAAATTGATTTTCAAAGATATTTTCTGCAAGAGATGTTAACAATATCCCTAGATTCATACATTGCAAATTTGCAAAAAGTCAAATTTGTCTGCAACAGAAAAAAATCACACAGAAACTCTAATGTTCGTGAACTGTGTTTGGAATCCTTGAGATGCCTTGAGCAAACAGCTTTCTGTTGATGTAGTCCAGGGAGCTATTCTTGGCCCGGTATTTTTTGATGATACATGGTTATTTTAGCACTCGTATTTCTATTTACACTGCTCTTGCCAAATATTGTGTTTGTAAATAATGAGGAATCAGGCAATATTTTTGTATTATTTACGAAGGAGGTGTTTTATTCCTTTCATAACATGAGTGTGAAAACTTTTATTGTTATTGCCGTCTTTGAATATAGAATTCTATCTGAAAGTAAAACACAATATACTATAAGTTCAATTGAATACCGTACCTTCTTTTTAACCCATAGGCCTAATTATATTTTTTTCTATTTGTCTAATGTTTTAAATTAGGCTGACATTATTAAGTCCATACATTCAACAAATCTTTCAAATATGGGATTAAAATATTTAAAATTCACACTTTTAGCTCATTTAAATTTGGGGTAAAAGATTGTAATCAATTAAGAAGCATTTCATTTACTTGAATTAAAATCTGTTTCAAATTTTGGCTATTGGTTTTTTTATGTAGAATATTTTAACGGCACCTATGCATACCATCGAACACAGAATAAAAATTTTATTCTGTGTTCGCTGATACATACATACATACAATCAATCAGCTTACATTTTGTCGAGAAAAAACTTGTGCATAGAGAGCAACAGCAGATGAAATTATTTTAATAAATTTAAAAGGTTATTACAAAGTTTTAGCTATGCCACAATTGACGTACTTCCTTAAAAATAGTTCACTGAGAACCATTTAAACAATCATACACCTATTAGTTTGTATCGGAAAATTGTTTACAATGACAAAGTTATTTCACTGAGTATTTGAATCATGCATTCAATCATTCCCCTATTAGGTTGTGTCAGATAATTTTGTCGGCGGCTGGATATTCTTGAGACAGAATGAAATTGATAAATTGAAGTTAGAATACTGTAAAACATGGAACCACTCAAACAATTATTTGCCCTTTTTAGGTTGTATTTGAAAATTTGGTAAAATAACAGATTTCAAGACAGTATGTTGACAAAGTGAAGTAGAATATGTTGAAGTGGATCACGGATGTTGTGAGAATGTAGCGAGATGTTTTTCGGTATTTGGGGCAGCAGCACGCTCGCCCCCGACCCCGAGGCACCCCCTCTTTCTCCCACGTGGTACTCTCGGATCGCCCAAAGTGTGATGCGCAAACCACAGGCGCTCTTCAAGAAAGTTGTGGTGAGTTGTGGAAATTATATGAATTTGTATGCGCTTTTTACATCCTAGGGGTATTTTGAAACTGTTTTAAACATTACGTCGGGCTAGGATTAGAGATTTGCTGATTTACATAGTTAAAAAAAATACGGTATTGGTGATCAGCCTAATTTGAACCCAGGACCAATGCACTGGACCGGCTGCATGTGTAAGCTGTATTGGGGGTTGGAGGATAACAATAATATTAGTTATTGTTCTGTTTTATTGTATACATTTAATTCACAATGAATTTCTTAAATTGAGTACCGGTATGAATATAATTTTTTGGGGGGTCTTAACCCTTTCCAATAAAACTCAATAAACCAACCTGGGAAGCCTGTTGATTTGCAGGTTTTTTTTTTACATAAGGGGCATTTTCTATTCTCATTACGGTACTAGGAGATTTTTTTTCAATGATAATCAAATCGAATCCCCTCAACAAAGTCATAAAAAAGAAAGAAAAAAATCAACAGAAACGACCAAGTTTAAAAATACCCCCGCCGCAGCAAACCTGCAGACTAAGCGAATTTCCATTTGACTGATTGGATTTACACTGAAATGTCTACTTAAAAATATAACATTTATTCTTTATTTAAATAGAATTAGTTTAACAAGTACTTAGGTTTGCTGCATCAGGGAGGGTAAAACTGTTTTTTTTTTTAAATGTGAATAGTTTCGTAAGAAATAAAAACATTTTCCAAATTTGATCAAAATATGTTCACAAACAAGCAAACTATAACAGTTTACTTATTCTCCATAAGAATAACATGGGAATTTTAAATTTACAATTTTTTGGAATTTTCTCCGTAACAATTAGGCGCATAATAACGCTTCAATATACTAAGTTATTTGTTTTTTTAAGCTCTACAAAGGAAAGAAATTGCTAAATTTTATGTTTTTTTGGTAAAAAATGGGAAAAACCTATTTTTACCCCATAAAACCCCCCGTAAACCCCCGTTCCCATGGTCCGATCATGCTGGATCGCGAACTCGTTCGAATAAACGTACGTTTACACGTTTGTACCAAATTTCATCAAAATCGGATCATTTTTGCTCGAGTTATCGTGCTGACGGACACATATATATATATATAAATATATAAATATATATATATATATATATATATATGAATTTGAACGGATGGTGTTTTTGGCCTCTAGGGACCTCAAAACGGAAAAAAAAATCGGTCCCGCGTCCAGGTCTTACCATGAGTACTACGGTAATAGCTTATTCCCTATATGGGAAATTCGCTAAAACAAGTTACAAGTAAACATTACAAGTTTTAAAAATGTAATGAATCAAATAAAAGTTTGAGATAAATTTAAAAAAAATACATCAAAACCCTTTTTTAATTAGATTTTGTATTTTGTTTCATTCTATTATCATAAACATACAAACAAAACCAAACGGTGTGAAATTCCGATGTTTTCATAATCTTGTTTTGTTTCAGCTTCCTGTCGCGGATCCATTCCTCGAGAAAGTCAACATTTCTGATCTTGGTGAGTTAATGTGTTTGTTTTGTTTCATTCATCTTAAGCCTTGTGACTACATTACCACTGTCGTTAGCCACTTAATTTGAGAGCAGATTACCATAATCGAATTGATCTACATCCAATTTACCATTGGACAAGTCAAAATATGTTAAATTTAAAAATGGTGAGTTTTAGTATCATTTGCTTTAATACTTTAAGTAGATTACTGTTACCGTTTTCTACTTATTCTAGAAGTAGATTACTTTAATCAAACCACTCTATATTGAATGTAGTAGAGCAGTCAAAACATGTTTAGTCACAAGGGAATGTTTGGCTATTTCAGTATCCTAAAGAACGAGTAGTCTTACTCATGGATAGACCAAAGACACATTACGCGCAAAATACCATGTTGACAACGTAATGATCATTGTTTCTAAATTGTTCTTAGAAGTGCAGCTATTTGCTTACAATGCATCCAATTATACCCCGCAAAACTCTCGGTGAGTCAATCCAAGCAAGTAATTCTCTAAATCCAGATGTTCTCCCATGAAACTACACAAAGACAGTTAGTGTTGGTTTTTCTATTACTTTGGTCTGGCATCATTTCCGTTGTTGAGCTGGTTCATTTGGCGATTGTCGCGACAGTTTCACGCACAATTTATCGATCGCAGAAGTCTGCAAGCAGAGTAGCAAATGAGGGAGTGCTGAATGCCGGAAGAGTGGGGAGCCCCAAAGGTGCCAAATTCCAAATTTAACCTCTCCGAGACTCGTCGCTAAAGCCGCAGTTGCCTGTGGCCCTTGCGTCCACTAATTAGCTTTGTTTGACGTGTGAATGTGTTGTGTTGTGCTTGTTATACTCTTGTTTACGCCGCGTCCACGGTTTTGACAGTTTGTTTTATTTATTCGCTCCGTTTCTTCACAATTTAGTGTGCGCATTAATTGTTGAGGATCACTTTGGTATTTTTAGGTTCTTTATTGGACTTTGTTTGTTTTATAACAATGGTGGAGTTGGTGGATGCTTTGTTAGGTTGAACAATTATGTTTTGATGTGTTTCTGTAGTTTTTATTTTGGGAAGTTGTGTCTTGCAAATTTTGGTAATTTCTGGTCAATTTATGATGTTAGAGTTAACAAATAGCGTTAAAGCTTTTAACATTACTTGAGATGCTGGTAGATGTCTTATTTGTGAGTGTAATTTTTTTTTAATTTCGATGGTCATTTCTGAAAATAATTTTTTATGTTATTGATTTTTTTTTCCATTTTACTCTTTTCAGTCTTTTCCCCGTATTGGTAACCAGATACTTTCTTCCTTTGCTTTACCAGCAATTCTCTGCATTTAGTATGAGTTTTCCTCCACGTGAAATTGTCCAATAAACATTTTTCTGCCTCTTACCTGGAGACTGATGGGTTTGACAGGTTTTGAACTCGAGGGCTGCCAAGTTGCTCTAATATTTTACTCCTTGTAGCCTAAATAGGCCAAATACAGTTGCCAAATGCAAGCCCAATCCAATTTGGTTGTTGAATTGCCAATCTTTTAAGGCATTGTGATGGATGTTATTTGCAAAATATCTCTTAGCATTGTCAAACCTGCAAAACCTCATTCCTTTGTAACATAAAACTAAATATTTTGTAATTACTTAAACTTTAAAAACTGAAAATTATTAGGAACTCCATTCCTTTGAGCCATTTTACCATTTTACCATTTTTTAAATTTTTTTTGTAATTTTTTGCCATTTTACTGAATCACGTAAGTTTTCCAGTTTTTTTCTTCAGGATTTCATTGAGTTTTATTTTATTGTTTTATCGTTTACTTCAACTTCAACTCGTTTAGGGAAAAAGTTTATTCGTATAGTGTTTGTAGTATTGATTAGTGGTGTGTTCTGTTTAGATGTTTTTATTACAAACTGTTATTGGTTCAATTAACTTTGTTCTGGAAATCCAACGAATAATGTCTTCTAATCTAGACATCACAACATGGTAGAAGTTTTGGTCTAGACTCGTTGAAAAGGGAAAACATTATTTAAAAAGGGAAAGAGTTCTGCTAGCTTACATTAAATAAATTGCATTTCAAGGACACTATAAATAACACATGGATAAAAAAAACACTAATATTTTGTCCTAGTATCAATTCAATTCAATTATCAATTATCAATTATTTAAGATGGGGACGCCACTATGTGCGTATTTTAACCCAAATATGAGTGAAGGATGAGTGTAGGATGAGTGGCGCGATCTTGTAGTCTTGTTAGTGACTAAGGCCGACATGTTCCTTAGACACAGCTGTTAATTAATAGCCCATACAGCTAATGGCAACTAAGGGACCTACAGTTTATAGTGGAATCCGAACCACATTTTTCCTTGTAATTTACGAATTGGTCTAATTATCAGGATAGTACTGCGGATAGTCGTAGTACTCACTAGTGCGGACGTTAATCCACACCAGTGAGCATCGCATCCACAGTGCATCCCTATAAATATCCACAATTCGTGACCTCCTAGTAGCTGGATTACAGACTATATTAGGACAAAATATCAGTTTTATGTTTTGTGACGGTCTTTTATTCATAGTAGCACCATTATACCTCATGTCAGCTGGCTGAATTCTATTCTTTACAACAACAAAAATCAAAATCAACCTCTTGGCTCTCCAAAATCCAGTAATAGTAATTCTTGGCAGTCATAAGGCATCTGCTGCAGTGTTGGTAGATTGCACAGGTTTCTTTGCTTTTAGAGGACAATAGATTTTGAAAAAATACATCTTCTTTAATCTTCTTCATCCATATCAGTTTAAACGCCCAATCTCATCTGTTAACAAAGACAATTCTCAGCAGTATAAGATAGAAAATATCCTCCGCGGTTTAAACTCGAAATCCTCCGAAAGACTTGCGAAGTGGAGTGATTATTAGAGGATACCATGACGGGTGAAGATGATTCGGCTACACACCTACAGCAACTTCCTCGGCCATCACCTGCGGTCGATCGTGGACGACCAAGAAGTCTATAGGATTGATGAGATCAAGGAGTTTGAGGCGGTCGACTCCGCTTGGAAGGAGCTTCTCGCCCAGTTACTGTTGCAAGGTCAGGCGTGGAGTTGACTTGGAGTTTGGCCAAGAGTGATTTTATATGTCTAACCCAGTCTACCTTTTGACAATTTCATTTTTACGTGGGGATTTTGTACATGTGCAAAACAGATTACTTAATCTTGAAAAGTTTAATTGATTAAATTTTGTGTAGGTGCTTAATTGTTTTGTCTTTGCCTACTGCTATTCAATATATAGTTTTTTCTAGAAAATCTAATACATTTACTACATTATGACTAATACAGCTCCTATAAGTACGTACAAAAATTTTATTTAATCCATTCTCTTATTTTTAATCTTACTTTTTGTTTTAAATTATTGTTTGATTGCCTTATGTGTATTTATATAAAATGAACAGAATGATTATCAAACTGAATAACTACCAAGAGTAGAAGTTGCACAGATTTTAAGATAAGGGAAAGCTAGATAGGGGATGAGGGATTTACGATTGAGAAGGGGAAGATAAGGGAACATGAAAAAATTAAGTACATTATTGGGTTTTCAACAACAACTGACCTTTCCTTTAATGAAAACCAACCAATGATTTCCAAAGTACACTATTTTTAGTTTTGTATTCTGAAATCAGTTTTTATAATATTTTGTTTAATAAAATTCTCCTTGGAGAAAAAGTTTGAGTTAAACTGGACCAACCATTAATAATAATTTTGAAAATTAAAACAAAATGTTTTAAATTATTACTAGCAAAGATTTTGTATTTGTATACAAAAACTTACTATAGCAAAGCTGCCTTTTCCTGTGCCTAGTATTATTATGTATCAGTGAAAATGTTTTTCAATTATTTTAAAAAATATATAATTTAAAAAAGGCTGATTAAAATATTTTCAAAAACACCATAAAAGCAGCTGAGCTGAAGGTTAGGTTAGGTTTGTGAGCAGTTTGGCCGCCACCTGGTCTGAGGGCACTGTCCTATGTCGTCATTTGACTGTTGGCCATGGCCTACATAAACCACACACTTCACACACACACACACACACACACACACACACACACACACATGCATACACACACACAGCAAGGAGACATAATTGCTTGCTTGCGGGGTCGTTGGACCAAAGCGAATCCTTGATATTTTGAACTGCATTGTCCAATAAAGTAGTTTATCTTTATTGCACCTACGTTTGTTTCTGGAATATATTTTATTCTATTATATTTTGTAACTGGGTTATTCTTGTAAACGTTTAGTGATTTGTATAAAATTCCTCTGAACAACATTTAGGTATAAGGTGTCTTTGGGCATTGGAAACTTAATGATGCAGCAAAAATATCATCATTAACGGCTTACAATTAATGGTCCTAGCCTCTTCTGGTTGAAAGTTTGGTAGTAATTAAACAGTTTTAATATAAACTTTTTATATGATTAAATTTATTTTATTTTAGTTTTGTCGTTGATGTTTTTTCTAACATTTTTACTTTCAAATAGTTGACTTTAAATTAAGAGATGGTCTGTTCTTGAAAAACCTGGAATTTTTGGAGTGCCTTGGAAAAGTCCTTGGGTTTGGCTTACATAGTGAGTCTTATTATCTTTGAACTGTATACATGTCCTAAAGTTATAAATAAAATGCCATTTGCATTATTTTTAATGTTTAAAATGTTCAAGTTTATTTTTAATTCATATAAGGTTCAAGAGAGTACAAAAAACTAAGATTGCAGAGATTGAAACAGAGCAATTTTTTACATTTTCAGCTGATTTTGCTGTATAATTGAAATCTTCGTCTCACTGGAGGTTACATGCTTGTTTTTTATAATAATATTTTTTAGATTTTTTCTTAAATATGAACTTAAAAATAAGTAAAAAAACCAACAATTTTCATGGATTCAAAGATTGTTTGTGAAAATCATTATTATATCCTGAAATTTTCTATTGAAAATATGTGTAAACCTTCCTGATGTAAAATCGTATTAGTTTGTTAACTTTTCTTGGGAGTTCGATGTTCTCACATTATCAGCAGTCCTATAGATTAAAGCGGAAACAAGACAACGTAACTGTTGATAGATCTTTGTGGGATATCTCTGGTTTTCAAGGCCAAATGTCTCAGTCATCTGGTGTAATGATCTGGTCTAGTTGCTCCTCTGTGATGGCTGCCCAACAAACTTCCTCTTCTCACTTGTACAATTATTTCTGGGGTAAGTTTAAAGATTGTTCTCATAAATGCAATGGTCTTCATCTTTCAAAATGGACCCTTGAAATGTGAGGAAGTCATTTTGTTGAAGGTTGTTCTGTTTCACTTGCTTATTTTTGTGTTGAATTTGTATTCTTGGTTGATTTTGAGGTTAGGAAATGGTTAAGAGGTTCAGTGCTGAGGTTGGGTTTAGAAAATGCTGAATTTGTTTACGACACGAGAATTTTATTATCTTCATAAAAAAAACATGATTCAGAATATATTTGGATGGTTATGGCTCTCTTTAAATAATATTCCTTGTAACAGTACTATTTTAGCTTCCTGGTGAACTTGTAGTTGCATAGTTGAAGAAATAAATTGAATTTAATAGTTGTTGCTTTTTGCAAAAATGATCTGAATTACTCTGTTTCCATCGTAATACATCTACAAGAAATCTCTCATTGCAAGATTTATTAACGGCATAACACATTATCAAACATTAGACACACCCAAACACTGTTATACATTTTTACTATAAGCATATTTTATTGGTAGGCTATAGCTTTTTACCATGACGTACAGGGACTTAGAAAAACCTGTACAGGCAATCTAGTTTATTGTCGCACATGATGTAAAGTATTTCTCTGAAAATGCAAAACAAATCCACTGTAGCATTGTGTTTAGTCACACAATTTCATCTGTCAAACTTAAAACAGGTCCGTATTCAAGGCAAACCTTGGCATTGTTGTTTCAATATTTTGCATTATAAAATAAAATATCGGAATCTCACTCCTTTGGATACAAAATACACTTTTGGGACTAGTAGCCAGTATTTATGATTATTCTTTCCTTGTGAAATTACATCATCAAATTGTACTTTTCAATAGAAAATCCAGCATTACCTTAAATTAGATTATTTTGATTTATTTTAAAGGATTGATATTTAGAATTCTTTTCTTTAATTTTTATCACTGAGTGAAAATAAACTATGTAACCTGTAAACTCACCTTGGAAAACATTCGCTAACATTCTAACAGAAACCATTGAATGCCACATTGATAAAATAAATTGATAAGCGAAACAGCTTTATCAAGTAGTTCTTGAAAACATTTATAAATAGCCATTACATCATCTGCAGGTAAACAGCTGTTTGGATTTTTCCCATGAGTCTTGCAGACAAGTGTTATGTAGACTTCTTGACACGATGCCAAAATGTTGTTTTAACCGCAAAGTTTTCTTCCACATTTAAAATTCATTTTGCAATTTCGACTTTGTTTCCTCACAATTGTTTACCGACAATAGTTTGCGAAAGTTACTCTTTGTTCATTTAGAGAGAATATTACTTTGTCCATTGCCATTTATATATTTTACATAGGTTTGTAGTTCTGGTGTGGACATTTTTTTATTTTGAATTGTCAGGCAATTTATCTTAGGATGGAAACTCATAGAAAAATTACTAGGATTGCTTTCATAGCAGTGAAAGCCAGATGAGCGGAGCAATCACGTTTCATGATTTTTAATAAACGATAAATGAGCAAATGTTAATAGATATACGGTAATACAAAATACAAAAAAGTAAATCAGTCCCGCGTCCAGGTCTTACCACGAGTACGGCAATAGCTCATTCCCTATATGGAAAATTTGCTAAAAATGTAAGAAATCAGCTGTAGTCTGTCATTGACATTTTTTACACTATTTGTGCATGCACATACAATAGTATGGATAGATATTTTTGGTTCTGAAACTGAACTCTTTACCGATTTGTTTTTATTGTGTCTTTAAAGAAGTATTTTCTTGCACTAAAGCCAATATTGCGTTTTCTCACCTTCACCTACAATTATGTAAAAAAAGTAAACACAACATTGTGATGTGATATTTAGACCTGCATCTGTCATAACACAATGTTGTTCATGCAGGGCAAACTCATTTAGCATGAAGCTGTGAAGTGACAGCTTTGATAAGTGACAGGGTCTAAAATAAAAATCTTGCATAATAGGGTGTCTACTGGTCAATGAAGTACCTAACAAAAGTTACTGAAAAGTGACGGATTTTCATTTTAACATTCCAAAAGTCAAGAAAAAATCAGGCCTAACTAAAATCAAGTTTTTCAAACCAGCTTTTTTGCCCCTTGTTGCAAGAAATGATTAAATTCATATTACAGAATCCAAGAGGAGACATATTTAGGGAGCAGGCCAACAACTAAAAATCGTCATGGAAAAAAATATTGTATGCCCAACTATCTCTAGTTCAAGTCACTGAAAAGTATCGTCTTATCAGTACCAAATAAAAGTGTTTTAAAACCGTCTCCTCTCCCCTAAAGTCACTGAAATTTAGTTTGAACAAAGTCACTGAAATTTAGTTTGAACAAAGTCACTGAAATTTAGTTTGAACAAAGTCACTGAAATTTAGTTTGAACAAAGTCACTGAAATTTAGTTTGAAATGGTACGACACCCTGTATATGCAATCTCAATTATTCTACTTTATCTTACCTTCACAAGCTATAGGAAATCTTGTACTACTCCCCAAAAAACTTTAAAACAAAATATCATGTATTATCATTACAATTTCAATACAAAACCTTGAGTATGTCCACCACAGTCTCAACAAAGAAATCTGCTGAGTTTCCACCTCAATAAAAGAACAATATTTTTTGTTTATGGTCACAGTCTTGATTCAGAACTTCTTGTACTTCCATCACAATCAGAATAAAAATCCCCTTTATTCGCCGCACATCTTACTAAAAAAGCTATGTATGAGCTGGAAACCTCAATTTGGAAAAATGTGTCCAATAAGATTATATTTTAATGTTGACATGTATTTCCACACAATTTCAATTCAAAGTCTCCAGTATTCCTGCCGCACACTCACAATCTTGTTTTGTTTCAGAGGAGGACGAGAGCCAAATATTTGTCAAGTTCTTCAAGTTCCACAAGTGCTACGATTTGATCCCCACCAGTGCCAAACTGGTCGTGTTCGACACACAGCTGTTAGTCAAGAAAGCTTTCTTCGCTTTAGTTTATAATGGTAAGTACCCAGGTAAAGCTTTCACTGTATAGAAAGAACTAGACAATAGACATTCCTTCATTAAAGTATTTTTTATTAAAAATAAACCAAGTTAAATTAACCCTCTGAGAGAATGCGCTGATGTAAATTAAATCACTAATTTCTGATAAATATTAACACATTTAACCTATTAACGGTAACTAAATTTATAAAGTCTATCAATGAATCTTATTGGTTATTGGTCTTCAGGTGAAATTTGAACAGGTTGGGATTTGGTGTGAACTGTTTTAGCGACTAGTGTTTTCCTTCAGTGATTTATATTGAAACTGAGCAACTTCAACTTTTTGCTAGTTACAACATGAAAGACAAAATGTTGTAAACAAGTTGTTATAGTCTTTGCAATCAAGAATCAAGGTTAACCTGGAAAACTTGTTAGTAATACAACCATTTATCAAGGTCATGTATCAAATGCAATGTTGCAATTTATTGCGTTTTGACAGTATAGTGCTAGTTTTATTTACAAGTGTCTGAATTTTAGTTATTGTAATTTAAATAGCTGTAATTTTTGAAATCTTATTCCTTTCCATGATTGCTGTAAACTTAATCCGGTAGTGGAGCAATCTTTTAAACTGAATGTTTTTGTTCATTTTGTCATTAGCAAAATTATGGGCAGCATAAAGTATCACAGTCTTTTTCTCATAACTTATTGAAGTGTTGAGAATGTCCTTGATCAGTCAGTTGGCTTTTAATAAAGGATCCTGGATGATGAAACACCTGGTCTTAGTCAGTAGCAAAGGTCTCTTCATTCTACATGGATTAAAATATATAGATAATATGCACATAGTTTACACCCAATCTCAATTGACAATGATAATATAGTTTATTTTGCTCTGGATTTGTCTTGATTTTTGAGATTTTAACAGATAATTTATCTAGTTCACATGGTTAGTTATGTTTTGATCTAGAATCTTGAACCACCTAAGAATGATAAAACAAATTTTGTTTTCTTCGCCAATTTTTTACAAACTTTTTAAGGAAAAGCGGTCAAAACCCTCTAAAAGTTTTGTCCCAACTTGTATTGCATCTGTCCCTCACATTGGAGTCTGAGACGCTAACCTCTAAGCTAAGAATCTTGAATATTTGGGAAGTTTTTTTTTATCGATTTTCTGACAAAGTAAGTATGTTTTAGTGGCATGATTGTATTTTCAAAGAGGTTTGTAGTGTACCTGACAAAGAAAGTGTGTTTTAGTGGCATAATTGTGTTAGAGAGGTTTGTAGCGTAGTTTGTTTGTCGCAGGTGTCAGAGCCGCACCACTGTGGGACAGTTCACAACAGAGGTTTGTGGGAATGTTGACCATCACAGACTTCATCAAGATACTCCAGATGTACTACACGTCTCCCTCCGTCACTATGGAGGAGTTAGAAGAACACAAACTGGACACCTGGAGAAGTGAGTGAATAAATAAATAAATAAACAAATTAAGTTTTATGCACAATAGTAAATGCTTCAAGAGTTAACACTTCGATTGCTAGGAAAATACAAAAAATCTTTAAGGCAGACCTGACAATTTTTGTGACATTCTACGTCTCCTCCACACACCCAAAAATAAGGCCGTTGTTGAAAGATGATCTATCTCGCTAACATACAACGAATTGGACGATCGTGATTGCACGAATTTTATATACAACGGATTTCGGTTGGACACTCCAATCATCATCAGACCCAGTAGGCGAATCAAATCAAATCAAAATCAAATCAAACTTTATTGTCACAAAACGTTTATACATAGCTTAGCTACAAAACAGGTGACATTGTCAAAATTATAATAAATACATTGTTGATCATCTTACATTCTATAGTTAAAAAATTAAATACAATAAAAATAAAAATACTGACTTTGATTTAAAAATAGTTTACAACAAATACTCACTAATATGGTAGTAGTTTTTTTCTATTAAAAATTTTGATAGATTCTTTTTAAATGACATTGTATTGGCTATATTTTTTAAACCTAGTGGTAACTTATTGTACAGTTTTTTCCCCATGTATGTTGGTGTCTTTTCAATGAGACGCAGACGATGGATCGGTAATTTAAAATTATTTTTAAACCTTGTGTTGTATCTATGGTCAAAATTATCATTTAATAAATTTTCATAGTTTGATTGTACCATTACTAAGGTTTTGAATATGTATAAATTTGGAACAGTTAAGATATTTAATTCCCTGAACAGCGATTTACAAGATTTCCTAAAATATGAGAAAGTCATTATTCTTAAAAACCTTTTCTGTACTTTAAAAACTTTAACTGAATCACATGATAATCCCCAGAACTCAATCCCATAGTTAATAATTGAAAAAAAGAAAGCATAGTAGATATCAATTCTAGTTTTGAGGTCAATATAATTACGTAGTACTAGCATTTGATAACAGGCTGAATTTAATTTACTAATAATATTATCAATACAATTACTCCAAGAAAAATTAATATCCAGTTCCAAACCAAGGAAATTTGCGCTGCCACTGAGTGGTATCAACTGGTCCTGAAAGATAATTTCTGAACTGTAACCTTCTTTTGACTGTGCGGTACGAAAATTTAATAGTTGGGTTTTATCTTGATTAAGTTTTAGTCCATTAACTTCAAACCAGCTTGCCAATTCATAGAAAGTTTGATTAATTTTATGCTCCAATTCAAAATGGGACCTAGCTTTAATAATTGCTGTTGTGTCATCTGCATATAGAATGATTTTTGTTGAAACATTCCTAGGTAAATCATTTATATATAGTAAAAAGAGCAAAGGTCCTAAGATAGACCCTTGTGGGACACCCATTTTAATGTTCTCCCAAGGAGACTTAGATACTAAATAATTTTTCAAAATTACAGTTCTTTGGAACCGGTTTTCTAGGTATGATTTAATCCATGTAATTGATTGCTTTGAGAATTTGTACACATCAAGCTTTTTTAAAAGTATGCTATGGTTAACACAATCAAAGGCCTTGGAAAGGTCACAGAAGACCCCCATGGTACTCTGTGACCCATCCAGAGCCCAAGATACTTCATTAACAAGCTCGTTTAGAGCCCCTACTGTACTGTGACCTTTTCGAAATCCAAATTGCTCAGCGACCAAAACTGAGTGTGCGTCTAAAAATGTAAAAATTTGATTTAGTGCTATCTTTTCAAAGATTTTTGAAAAAGAAGGAAGAACTGAAATAGGACGATAATTATTAGGATTTTCTTATTGTCCTTTCTTAAAAAGAGGTTTTACTTCTGCAAACTTTAAATTTTGAGGAAAAACTGAAAATTTAAAAGATTGATTTATTAAAACCGATACAGGAACAGCAATAGAGTGCATTACTTTTTTCATAATATCCAATGGTATTTCATCCCATCCTGCTGATTTTTTATTTTTTAATGACTTTATTGTTTTAATCACATCATCTGGAGTCACATTTGTGAAACTAAATTTTACTTGATTTAAATCAATTCAACTCACGTTAAATCAAAGTGAGATGAACAATTTGATTTAAATCAAAGTCAGTCTGAGTTAAGATTAATGCTTCCTGCTCACATGGTTGAATACTTATATCATTGCTCAGTTCAATAAATTTTTTGTTGAACAAACTAGCTATATCATATCCATTTTTTATAGGCATACTGTTATCTATTACAATATCAGGAAAATTAAGACAAGGTTTATTACATCCGAGCTCAGATTTTACAACTTTCCAAGCAGCTTTACTCTTATTTTCTGCATTTTTTATAAGACTAGAATTATACATTTTCTTTGACAATTTACAAACGTTACTGAAGATCTTTTTATAATTTTTAACATAATTAATAAAATGTATATCGTTTGACTGCTTTGCTAGTCTACTTAGCTCTCTCTTTTTAATGCTCGATATCTTAATACCATTTGTTATCCATTTTTTGTTGTTTGAAGGTTTAACTTTATTACAAAAAAATTTCAAAGGAAAGCATTCATCAAAAATTCCTTGAAAACATCCAAAAAAGTTTGAACAGTTTTCCTTAAACGTTTTATCTAGTGAAATTTGCCAATTAGTAATACTGATTTTTTTAATGAACGAATTAATGTTTTTATTTGAAAAAAATCGTCTTTTAACCCTAGGTAAATCAGTTTTGTGCTGAGATGAAATATTTCTAGAAATATCCACAAAGATTGCCCTATGATCTGATATACCTAGTTCTAGGTTCATTGATGGAGTTACTTCACACGTTTTTAACTTTAGTGATAGTATGTTATCAATACAAGAAGCTTTATTGTTGGTTATCCTTGTGGGAGAAGTTAAGTTTGCAATGAAACCTGTGACGTAATTTTCCTGGCGGACGACAAGAGGTAAATTACGCCACCGGTAAGAAAACGAGATCCCAGGATTCGCCCTAGTCTGGTCGCGGGGAGTTTCCCAGGAGTCGATAGTGATTCAGATAGCCTAACTTTGATAGCCCTGGTTGTCAGAGCTCGAGACGAACGTTGCGGGTTACTAAACACCCTACTCGAAATCACCACTCTAGCCTAGGGCTTGTGGGGAAATGAATAATTTTGACTTGACTCTGTGGGCAAATATCTAAATGACACACTACTAGCTAACTTAACACATTGAACCCTAAGCCCGAGTATAGGTCGGGGTATGACGTAAGACACACTGAACTAACCCCGAGTATAGGTCGGGCTTCAATATTAAATTCCATAGCAACGTAATGACGTCACATTTGCTATTTTTGTTATTACGTAACCATTCCTTGGTCATCTGGCTTCGATTGTAATACCCCACAACCTAAAAAAAACCAGCTGTTTGGTAACACAAAAAAAAGATCCAGCTGTCTGCAGCCTTGCATCGTATTGCTTAGTGATGACGACGACGACGCTTTGTTGTTGTTGTCTGCGCTAATGGCTGTCTTTGTTTACAATCGTTTATGTGTTCAATAAAGTGAATGTTTTATGTTTTTTACAAGTATTATGATTGCGTAATAGTTCTTGTTATGAGCAATACCTTGTTGTGGATAATTTTTATTGTGTTTAGTGTCAAATATGAGCGATATATTTGATAAAAAAACGTTGAGTCATATTCGTGAACTCTTGTCAGAATCAGACCATAGTGATGAAGAAAATCAATCTTTTAGTGAAAATAATTACTTATGTTCAGGACCTAGTTCTACTACAATATCAGTAAATGAAAACTTGAATGATCCTATTTATGATTCTGGTTCGGAAGGTGAGTTTGTTGTAAGTAATTTAGATGCTTTTCAAAATGAGGTTAGTGCAGTTACATACATGGTTGATGAAAATGATCCTGATGAGTTGGTGTTTTATGATTTACTACCAAGTGACATAGACAATGATGACTGTAAAAATGAATCAATTTCAGTAGTTGAAGAAGATGAAAGTAGAAACTTAGGCCCAATTAGATGTAAATATAACCCTACAATTTACTCTGATGAAGAAAACTGTGATGAACCAGAAACAGTTCTAGACACTACTAGGCCTACAGATGGTATACCATTTAGGCCTAACCCTCTTGAAATTAGTCATGAACAACCACCCAATCAGCCTAATCATAAAATCTGCAAAAACAGAAAATTACTTAGGCCTAATAGTTCGATAGTTTCTTCGGATGACGAACTGTGTGATCCTGATTTCGACAATGTTGACAAAGATCCTGATTTTCTACCTAGTGATCGTGAAGATAATGTCTTACAGCCTTCAGCTACTTCTTGTTTAGGTTCTCTTAGGCCTAATAAAGTAACCAACCAAGTAAAACGCCGGTCAAATAGTACTAATTATAATCGTAAAACCAAAAGACATCGATCTATATCGCCAAATGAAAACTTACCGGATAATACAAATTTACCTGTGCCAAATGAAAACTTTGAACATGAACCGGAGCAGACTCAACCAAGGAAAAAGAAGAAAAAAAAACCCACTGATGAGGAACTTGGATGGCGGTTGGAGGACAACCCACCGCCACTACCAGCATTTGACGAGTTAGGCGCTGGTGTTACGGCTGCTATTGATGAGAACTCAACTCCATTTGATGTGTTTTCTATATTTTTTCCTGAATTTTTTATCAAATCATTGAAGTCAGAGACAAATAAATATGCCAAATCTATAACCGATAAACTAAGAAGATCAAACAAATTGAAGAAAAATAGTGTCTGGTCAAAATGGACAACCGTAAAGCTTTATGAAATTTACCATTTTTTCTCGATTGTATTGCACATGTGTGTTGTGAAAAAACCTAAACTTAGTGACTATTGGTCAACAGACAATTTTATAAAATCTATGTATGCTCCATCAGTCATGGCCAGGGATAGGTTCCTAGCAATTTTGGCAAATTTTCACATCAACGATAATTCAACATACATCCCATTCAACACTCCAGGCCACGATCCGTTACATAAACTAAGACCATATATAGATCTTTTGCTGACTTCTTTCCCAATGTGTTTTTCACCGTACGAAGATTTGACCATAGACGAAGGAACTTGCGGATTCAGGGGTAGAGTTCGGTTTAGAGTTTATAATAAAAGTAAGCCTGACAAGTACGGGATGAAATTATATGTTTTGTGTGATGCATCTACAGGATATGTTCTAAAATTTGAAGCCTACACCGGTAAGTCTGACTCCAGTAATACAGTTGTAGCTCTATATGAGAGATTGTTGGCAGATTACCTCAATAAAGGACATACTATTTATAATGATAGATTTTACTCTTCACCAAAGCTTTTTGACTTTCTCTGGGAGAAAAATACTAAAGCAGTCGGTACCTGCATGAGCAATAGGACCGAGTTGCCCAAGACTGTCACCACTAAAAAGCTACAAAAAAATGAAACTGTTTTCATGAGAAGAAACCATTTACTCTGCATAAAATGGAAAGATACTAGAGATGTCTTAGCTCTATCAACAGCTCATAAAATGACTACATCAGAAGTTACGGTGCGTACAAAACAAGGGATGTTGCAAAAACACAAACCAGATCTGATTTTGGATTACAACAATAAAAAAACAGGTGTGGACAGAAATGACCAGTTTATTTCCTATTACCCTTTCAAGAGGAAACAGATGAAATGGTGGAAAAAAATGTTCTTCCACTTGTTTATGATGTCAATTGTCAACGCATTTATCTTATATCGAAAAACCAGACCTGCAAACCTGAGACCCCTCTGTCACCTTGAAAAATTTATAATAGCAATTGGAAAATCATTGAGCGAAAAAGCAGGGACTTTATTACAAGAAGAGGAAACTGCAAGAGCCACAAAATCTGATCGACTTATTGGACGTCATTTCCCTGACAAAATCCCCTCTACGGACAAGAAAAAAAATCCTACAAGAATTTGCAAAGTGTGTTCGGAAAAAAACAAAGTTTCTACAGGAAAATCTGGAAGAAAAGAAACTTCTTGGTGGTGTCCAGAGTGCCAAACACCATTGTGTGTGCCTGAATGTTTTAGACTGTATCATACCAAAGCAGACTATAGTAAAGCCTAGGCTAGATGTGCTTGGGAACTGATACGACAACGACATTTCAATTTCTCGTGTTATAATATGTAAGGTAAGCAATATAACTATATACATGTATATATTTCCTGAAAGGGCATGTTGTTCTCTTCAATTTCACATGATATAAATGCCATAATTATGCTAAAGTAAATATTAAATACTTTTTTAATTAGGTTAGTACTTGCGGTTGCAATTTTTGTTTTTCTCAATTTTTTTTGTTATTTCAAACTGAAACCCTGTAATTTATAGCCTACGGTAATGTAATAAAATATATGTCATTTAAAAGCTTATTATTTTCTCTTTAATTTGATATATTATTCACCAGAAAAAAAGTTTTTTTTTACCAAGCTACAAATTTTTAATAATACCCTAAAATTGCCCAGTAACGCCCATACTAAGGGCATTTTGCGCTCAGGGTTAAAAGTGTTAACAAATCAACAAGTAAGCTAAGTAGGCACTCCGCTTACCTACGGAGTTACGTCGTCACCCTGAAACAAACAAGGTTAGTACAAGATAGGCCTAACCTAGCCTAACTCCCACAGAGTCTGAATTTACTAGACAAGAAAACGAGTTGGCTTAAGTTGTCCAAGTGAGACACGAGACGGGAGAAAAAACTGAAACTAAAAATAAAACTGCTTCAAGAGCTGATACGAAAAAAGAAAAACTAAAACTTCAACTTCCCCACGTGTTCAACTTAAGCAAACTTCTGCAATAATTATCAAGCAGAAACCTGTCTGCTGGGGCCAACTTCGGGGCGTTCGGGAACTTTATAACAGATTTAAGAATTAAAAAGTAAGTCCCAAATACGGATTAAGAAACGTTAAGCGAAAATATATTTCACCAACTGCAATACTTTACTAAATTAGTTGGTTAAGGCGTGTGACTAGGTCTGCGTATCAGGCCTAGTCTTCAAGTTCAACCAAGCTTCGTACACGAAAGCTGGTCAAGTAATATACGAAAACCAGAGAAGTTAACTACGAAACTCACCAGTCGACGAAATTATAACCCACTATGTTCCTGCACAAGTTCACTACAAAACTATTCGAACTTAAGCTTTCAGAGCTTGCTGAAACGTAACTTTAAAACGACGAAGAAATTGAATGAAATCACTTAGAATTCAAGACGAACGAACGAACTCGCGAAAAGCCGGGAATACGAATGACCAGAACTTCACAAAACTTCTTCTTACTTCACCTTCGTCTCAGAATCGAGACGAAAGTTAAAACGATTCCTGATTGGTCAACGAGTTACCGAAACAAAAAAAAACTGGCAGCGAAGGCAGGCGCATGGCAGCTGTAACAGGCTTACAGCCGCGTACCGCTCAAAGGTGACCTCGCTGCTCATCTTCTCTCCCGTAGCCCGGCCTCAGATGCAGTCGAACAGCCAAACAACCAAACTGACACCAACGTCGTCTGCGGTCTTGGAATTGGAGGTTAGGTACGACGTCAGTTTAGTGTCGCGACTAGGCTTACCCAACAGCTTATGTTTAGCTGTTTAATGTTCGTGGTCTAGATCGTTATATTTTTACCCCCCTACCCATTTGACTCGTTACAAACCGTATGTCTCTACTAGAGAAAGAAACTCAAATCTTTGCTGTGGTTTATTTGTGTATTCCAAAACATCAATATTGAAATCCGCTGCAATGTAAACATTATTTATTTGGTTGTCTTTGTTAAGAATCCTTAATAAATCTTCAAACTTATTTAAAAATAATTTAAAGTTAGAATCATCCGGTACTCTGTAAATAGATATGACAATTATTTTTAAATCAATAACCTCTACACAAGACATTTCAAAAACAGAATCTAAATTAAAAAGGCAATAATAATAAGGTAAACTAATAATCAAGATACGCCTATTATATCTGATGATGATAGAGTGTCCAATCAAAATTGATCACTTACCATCTTTTATATGTACCTTCTAGCAAGTAAACAGTATAAGTTTAAATATATCATTACAAGTGTTATTTGACATATTTTTGTGCTTTCAAAAACAATAAATATAGTAAATTGATTGACTTTCTGAAGAACATGTACACCTAAAGTTTATATGTCATTTTATAAGTCTCATAAACTTGAATAAAGTGCTTATTGCTAACACAATCTAATAACATCAAATTGTCTCCTTGCTCAGCTACGTATTATAAATCAAATCCTGGAAAATTTCCTCCAAAATTCAATCAATGAAGTCTCAATAAAAGGACCTTTAAACTTGATACACTAAGGTACAAGAAATGTTGGTAATTATTGGAAACATACTAATTTTCCAAAGTAATCTACAAATCAAGCGTATTTCTATTGATGGACATATTGTCAGGCGCTTTATAAGCACTAGTTAGAAGTAGATATTGATGAGTATAATTAAAGCGTTTTCTCTCTTTGGCACTTGACGAGAGTTACTCAACACTGTTTGGCAGTACGTTAGTTGTTTGACTGACGTCCGTAACTCACATCAGTGGCTGACTGCCATTTGAGTCGTTAGCTGCTTTGAATCTGATCTTTGTCGTTAAACAATGTCACACACGTGCTCTTCGTCATTTCTCAAAGTGTTATCCTGGTGTAATCAAATTATTGAGTCTTAAAATGGTTTACAGTTAGATAAATTCTCTGACATGTACTGTAACTTTAAGAAACTATTGTAAAATACATTTTTTAAATATTCAGTCTGATTGATCTATTTACTTTTGTTTGGGGTTTTCTTGGTTATTTACAACCTATTAGGTATCATATAATATAAAATTTGTATATTTTATGAAGCAAAACTTAACCCAGTCCAAACAGAATATAAACTGGTCAACATTATACTTCATGTTTTTTAGTAATGCTTTCTATCAACAGTTTTATATTTAACACAAGAAGTAAAGTAAAGAGGAAATATTTAATAGTACACTTAAGTGTTGTCTAGCACTAGTCGCTGGTGTCTTGCGCCAAGTCCAACACCCCTCTCGTCCTCATGTTCTATAACGCTAACAGAGGAGTAAACAGTGGGGAAGACCATGTACCCTTTGCGTAGGAATTTCCGTACATTGCTAGACCCTCAGGCTCTCCCTTGCTCGTTACAAGTATATTTCCGGTACAAAAAACTAAAGCTGAAAGCGCATGGTCATCCTGTAAGCAAGTTTTCTCTGTACCGTTCCCGTGTATTTAACTATAACCAGGGTTGTTTGGACGGTAGATTGTTTGGGAAAGCGGAAGTTAATAAGTCTCCAAAACCAGAAGCGGGGAATGGACGGTGTGCTATGTCCAACCACCTCTTCCTCTATCGGTACCAATTCAATTTTTCTTATCCTCTCGTCGTGCCTTTTTGTCACACTACTAATCCACCTTAGTCCCTCATAAGCTGTCTCCAAATTCCTTCTGACCTTTTTGTGGATTCAATTGTCGAGCCACAACAACCAAACTAATTCGTAAGTCTTGAAAGGATAAAACTCCAAATCTATAGATTCGTTGGTACTCAACACTCCATGTTGTTACAGAGGTCCTCAAAGATAATGTGAAGGAGTTGGTTTCCATCAGTCCGGATGCTTCACTCTACGACGCCATCAAGACCCTGATTCACAATAGGATACACAGGCTGCCAGTGATAGATCCTGAGACTGGGAACGTTCTGTACATACTCACACACAAGAGGATACTCAGGTTTCTCTTCCTCTATGTAAGTACGATGTGGAATTCTAAATTTTTATTTTTTCATCATACTGCAACAAAAACAGCTGTTTTTATTACATGCCTTGCGGGTGTGTGAGCATTTTTACTCACTAGGGAGTAATACAACTTTTTAGTCACTAGGGGTAAAATTCAGCTGTTGTAAATAGTTGTAAATTTCAAAATTTCGATCTTAAGCAATTGCATGGATAGAATTTATTTATCGATTTATATTAGGTTATGTATTCGGTTATTTTTTATTATTGCATTATTGTCAATAGTTTATAGCAATGGTATAATTTACGATAAACACAATCGTATAAACTAAATGATTGAATCACTTACTAAACAACTGCTTATTTATATTAGCAAAATTTAAAACAAGCTGAAAGTCGTTTAGAGAGTTTATCTGTAGATTAAAGGTATTTTATTTTTGTTTTCTAGATTGGTTTGTTAGTTAATGATGCAATATGACAAGAAATATAGTTCATTACACGGGAAAAAAGTGTCTTTTCAACCCTTGCTTATTTTCCTTGAGCTCCGGTCAAAAATAGTCAATTCTTGCTAAATACAGTGTAATACTCCAAAACATGAAGAAATGTTACTAAAACATCTGTATAGAATAGTGATATACAGGTGTTGACTTGTATGTTCACTTGGCTATGGACAAAGCGGTTCAAATTTGTCGAGCCCTATTCAGGAGACTAGAACCAAACTGGTCAAACAGCAAGTCTACTCCAGAAAATATATTCTGTGTACAACTTCTAACCGATGTATCTGTCCAGATCAACGACCTTCCTAAGCCAAGCTACATGCACAAGACGTTGGAGGAGTTGAGGATCGGAACGTTCAGTAACATAGAGACAGCTGAGTCTGACACTTCTATCATCGTAGCGCTCAAGAAGTTTGTCGAGAGGAGAGTCTCGGCTTTGCCCATGGTGGACGCTGAGGGTCGCCTCGTCGATATCTTCGCCAAGTTTGATGTTATTGTAAGTAGATTTTGTTATTTTATTTCAGTTATTCTCCAGATTTTAGGTTTTCTAATAACTGTTCTCAACTCGTCTAATTTTGCTGACCCCTAGTAGACCTTTGTTCCTCTCGTTGCTCGCAGAAGTTTAGATGTGTCAAAAATTGTCGAAGGACACATTTTTTTAGAATAAATGTTACACATTTTGGGTTAGTTCCTTTTTTTCTCTTAGGTCACGCAAAAATTTCATAAAAACTTAAAATGTACGTTTTTATTCAAGAATAGGTTTCTACTGGTCTACTATTGAAAAATTGCCTGTCATTATCTGCATTTCTCTGCCAAGCGTAGCACGTTTTGATATAAGGCACTAGCCATGGTATAACACTCATCTCCATTCATACTTGGCTTAAAATACACCTTCGTATGGTCACCATTTCAAGTAGTGTATTAAAGCATGTAATACAGGTTTGGTTTTTAGTTTTTGGCAAAAATGTGGCAAAACAGATAGACCAAACCCTGCCTTGACAAAAAGTAGTGTTAACAGACTCTTGGACTCTGGTGAGTTGGTGGCTCAGTCAGTAACACTACAGACATCGGGCCCAAAAATTTTGCTTCAAATCCTGGTGCCTGGCTCTACTTTTTATCTCTACAGTTCATCCTTGTACTGTACTTGTTCACCCCCTTGCCATGGGCCCCTGACCACATGGGCCACAGAGGCCTGTGCGTCAAACATAACCAGCAAAGTTATGTTTGACGCACAGGCCTCTGTGGCCCATGTGGTCAGGCAAACGCAAGGCAGCTCTTTACAAAAAAAAAAAAAAAATAGATTATTCATTCTAATTTTTAAAGAAAAATTATTTTTACAGAACCTGGCGGCAGAGAAGACCTACAATAACCTGGACGTTTCACTCAAGACGGCCAACGAACACAGGAACGAGTGGTTTGAAGGAGTTCACAAGTGCAAACCAACGGAAACACTCTTCACGATCATGGAGAGGATAGTGCGAGCTGAGGTGAGGACTTTTTCACTCATCAAAACTGTAAATGCCCGTCGTTGACTTCTAGTCATTACAGTGATCGAAAGAGCTTTTTGAAAGATGAAAATCCAAAGACTATGTCATTGCTCAACATTAATATAGAATAACTATTCACAGAATTACAATTTATTTGTACAAATTTGAGTTATATGAATTATGTTATTGATTTGTAATCTATTTGGAGAAATTACCCACTCTACTTTTTCTCCCAACTATGCCAGAGCATAGCTAAGCTTAAACCAATTAAAAGCAGCATCATTATTTTAATAAAATTGCTTGAAACTTAAAAAATTATCCATAATGTTAGAGATTGTGAAAGGCTGTTTTGCTGTGTTTCCATTAGATCAATCTTTAAGGTATTTCTAAAACTCTTATTAAGTAATCCATTTTTAGATGTTTTGTATACTGACCTTTCATTTGGCCCCGAATGTACAAGGGTAACTTAAATTTCTAATTTGGCAACTTTTATTAGACATCCAAACATCACAAACCTTCAAAGGATTCAAGAGTATGTGATGTCTGCTTAAAAAAACCTGTTTCAAAATACAGTAGACTCTCGCTCATCCGGATCGGCCTTGTCCGGACTCCCGGTAGTCCGGATCGGCAATCGTGATTTTTTTTAGTGGCTCAGTACAGTAGAAGACCGATTATCCGAGCGAAACGGGACCGAGACTACCTCGAATAATGAAAAACTCGGATAACAACGGCGGTAAAAATTATTAGCGGTGGAAGTGCATATGCCCGGGCTACAATTACTGTGGACCTGGAACAAATTTCGGCCGAAAAAATTATTACCAGTTGAAGTGCATATGCCCGGGTTATAACTATTGTGGACCTGGAACAAAATTCGGCCGAAAAAATTATTACCGGTGGAAGTGCATATGCCCGGCTATCATTACTGTGGACCTGGAACAAAATTGAAAAAACTGCTATATACAGTGTATTTGCTCGACTCTCGATAGTCCGGATTTTTCGTAATCCGGACCGGACGTCCGCCACATTTGTCCGGATGAGCGAGAGTCTACTGTATCTGAACCATTTATTGCTTATAGTTGGACTCTTCAGTTGAGTGCTAAAGTTGACCATTTAAACTGATGATTGATAATGTTTTAGGTGCACAGACTAGTGATCACTGATGATGAAGAAAAAGTCATCGGAATTCTTTCCCTGTCAGATTTGCTACTGTACCTTGTACTTCGACCGTGTGGTGAGTTTAATTCTGTTTCTCTATTTAACAATCTCAAAAAAGCAATACTTACAATTACACTTCTATTAAGGTTGTTTATTCGAAACAGGGTACACCGTGGAATTTATATATTATTTTTTCTTGTTACAATTTTATGACACTTCTATATGAAAGTAGTTTACATTGCTAGGTTGTTTGACAACAAACAGTTTTATTAGAAACAAGGTGATAGTTTTGTTGTAAATCGTCCAATCAGTCTTGTACATCTATGACCAGAAGGATTAAAATTAGGATTAAAGCAAAATATTGCTTTTAAGACAGAAAACATAAAGTTAAGCTGTTTTGTTAGAAATTAAGGTTTTTTTCATACAATTTGTGCTAAAAAATTAATTTCCAAGCAAAAAGTTTCAGTGAACACAAAATTTGTGTTTGTTATTTACCGGTCAGTCTTAGCACCTGGATAATTTGCCCCTTGATAATGAGATGACTTTCCAGTTTTGTTACTTATTTGAGAAAATAAAAAGAAACTGTTGAACTTGATTTCAGCTGGAGTATGATAATAATTGTAGGCTGAAAATTTGATAGCATAAACCATCTGATCTTCATTTGTACCAAAACTCATCTCATTCATTCAACCAAGGCCACACTAAAAAAAACAGGCCGTAATGCTCGCCAAGCATGACGTCACGATAGAAGACGGCTATGACGTATAAGTACTTATGTATTTATTTACCAATGAAAGATTAAAACAAGCAGCTGATCACAAACGGCAAAATTACGTCATTTCCGTCTTCTATCGTGACGTCATGCTGGACAAGCATTACGGCCTGTTATTTTAGTGTGGCCTTGATTCAACACGGTGTTGCAAGTCTAATCTAATCTATATAAAACACAACCTGTATTGATAAACGTGTTGTTTGCAGGAGATGACGGGAACACAGGCGGCGACACCGAGTGTAACTCAGTAAGACTACAGGACCTGCACGCCCAACAACAGTCGGGGGAGACGATACTAGAAGAGGAGGTGGAAGGAGAGGGTGGAGAGGGAGGCTCAAGCAGCGACGAGAGAGATCGTGATACTTCTCCTCCTCCGATGCTGTCCACTCCTCCAGCCTCGCTGGCAGAACAAACGTGGCGCGAAGTGACAGTGTTGGGCGGCGACTAGACTCTGACTTTACTAATTTATTGTAGATATAAATAAAGTTACCTATTTTTAAACCCGTGGTAGTTAAGGAAGCGATTAAGTGTACCTTCGATTAAGTACTTAACGAGTCGTAGTCGTAGATACTTTTGTGAATAGACGGTCTAGAGGAGTCGGGATGATGCTTTATTTCTTCAATACTGAATACTGTGATACGTGTCCGTTAGGTTTGACAATAAGTAACAATAACGTACAAACACTTCTGCAGGACCAATTTCGAATACACCATCGGTTTTATTTGTATTTCCAATTTTTGCTATGTTAAACTGGTTTACTTAATAATGGGATTGAAAGTACATGGGAATTGTAATGTTAATATGTAAAATTTAGCCTTAACCAATATAAAATCTATCCAGACTTGTGCAATCAATGTCTATAAATACACATTTTATTTGCTTCTATACAATTATTTAATTATTGATTTTCCGAGTATTATATGCAAGTATACAACTAAACAATGTTTTTATCCTATAAAAAGTGTTAAATTTGTTAATTATATATATAATTGTATATTCTCTCAGATAGTAATAATTAGAGATTAAATTTTTTTTAAGATTATTCTAGGATACAAAGTCTGTCAATATAAGAAAAATGTTTTAGTTTTAACTCTTAATTAACCACATAGGTGCTAATTTTTCATGTTCTTTGTCAAACTATAAGCAAGAGACATTTGTTTTTTATCAAGTACTGAAAACATTAAACTTAAGCTTGAAGATTTGTTTTATTATATTTTGTTTATCAATGTCAAATTGTTATATTAAAAACTTTATTGTGTATTCACTATACCTTTGTGTCTCCAATTGTGCAATATATTATCAATTTTAAATGTGTTCTACATTTTTACTTGTTTATGAGATTTATTATTTAAAAAGGGCAAAGTCAATGCATAGATTTAAATAGGTTTTATCTTAAACAAGTTTTTTTTTATACAGAATGTGAAATTATTCTAAGATCATAACAGTTATGAGTTAAGTCACAGGAGAAATAAAAAATATGAGTTAGTAGGGTGTATCCACTTTTAGCCTCTAAAAAGATTGTAAGGATAGGCAAAGTCCTCAATTACTTAAACAACATTTTGTTTCACTATGTTTTGTGTCTGTACATTACAACACTATCTTGCATACTAAAACAAACATTGGATGATCTCTAGTATGTTAAACCCCCTTTGTAGTTTATTATTGTATAACTTGGTGAATTGTCATAAAGAAGAATGTTAATATTGTTTAGTAGCTGTATACCATTTAACTATTATTATAGTTTAAATGCTACCCTAAAATTATATGGATTAACTTTGATTTGTACTCATTCTTATTTATTTCTCCTCTTGTTCATTTTTTCTTGTACCTAATAAAACTCCTATCTAAAACAATGATAACTTTTTTGAAACTAAAAGATTATTGTTTGCTGGCCCAATAATATGTGTTGCACTATTGTACGGTAAGCATCAATTAAATTATTTTTTAAGCTCAAAAACATATTTTAGAAGAAAGAACTTTGGTTGGCATGTGAGATTTATACCTTTATAAGAAGAAAGTTATACTGAATAATTTACAAAGCTAACACTCTAGTGTTGTTCGGATAAGTTGTTTCTATAGATTATTGTTGTATATTAATACATTTTGTACTGTAGATAGCCTGTGTGTAAAAATGTTTATAGACTATTATCATAGCTTTGTAATCAACTCAGTATATATTCTAAGTATTTAAAGTATTGAAGCTATCAAAGTCATCCCTGTATAAAATATAAATATATTTATATACATATATCTTGCTTGGTCATTTTAATTTTTCGAATAAACCTGTTAAAAGTATTACCTTTTTGATAATAATATGTTGAATATTTGAAATAAATTTTCAAAAATTTGACTTAAACCGCAGTTTTTATTTTACCTCAAATATTAATGGTTGATTTATCCTTAAATCTTATTTAACTTTATTTGGTTATTTAACTCTGAGCTCCAATGTTCTATTATATAGGACACTACACAACCAAACCTCCTCTTAAAACAATTTATACAATTAAACAGATTTCCAAACTATCAGTAGCTTATTTTGAACATATGAATATGAAATCAATTATTACATCTTAACTGCAGAGTGTGTTGCTAGAGCTACTAGTTTGGACCTCGAACCAGCGCAAGAAGTTTGATTCCTGACCGCACAGAAACTTTCTTGTAAATATTTGTTCCTGGTTACCTAATATCCAATAGTCAATGCTAATACCAATGGAATATCGTAAAGAAAAAGAAAGACACCACCTCTCATCATCCATGCTCCCTGAGATTGATTAAAATTGATGTTTTGAAAACATCTTGTGGTGGAAACAAAAGACAAACTTAATATTAAATTAAACTGGAATTGGAAGAAGACTCTTTCAATGCTATTACCATTCTATAAAATTACCTCCAGGCTGTAAATTTTCTTTTGAAAATCTAAATTATGAATTTGTGGGCGAAGAACATGCTACATTTGGACTGCAACAGAGCTCATGTGAGCATCTTAAAACAGTAAAAAAGTGTTAAAAGCATACCCCTCATATTTTTAAACCTATTTTCAAGGGGACTAAGAAACTATCAAGAGAGTTAATTATTAATACTATAGTATATTACGTTTCTAGTCCTGAAAATAGGTGTTTACCGGACGAGTGTGGTCGTTAACCAATACCATACGAGTCCGGTAAACACATTTTGGACGAGTGACGTAACATATTTTACCTAACCCGCCATGTTAAATGTCCCTATCCCAAGCGTGATGTATATAACTTCGTTACTTCTCGAGTGATGTAAAGTTGAAAAAAACTCACTCGGTGATGAAATGAAACCCATTTAAATAACATTGAGTGCTTAACTTAAAAAATATACCTCTATGGAGCCAACGACGTTCAACGCTGGAAATCAGCTGTGTGCTTGAATTTTATTGTTATGTTTTGAAGAATTATTTTCCTAACCTAGCTTTTGTTTGTAAATGAACGTTACTGATAGAAGATGAGTGAAATGGATAATGAAAAATATTGTTCGTAACCTCCTGTATATTGTCGGGCCAGGTAAAATCTTGTACGTTACACGTTACGCAAGAGCGTGTTTACATCACTTCGGTAAATTATGCAACTCGCTTCCGCTCGTTGCACAACATTCACCTGCGTGATGTAAAAACGCTCTTACTACACTTGTAAGGTAAATAGCTATTACGCTACACTACACTATTTTGACGAACTTCCCACGCAAGGATTTAGTCCAGAAAACAGCTGTTTGCCGCCAGCTTAATCAAATGAGGTTTCGTTGCGTCATACTGTACTGTAATGAGTTTTACCGGACACCAATCAGCTGATTATATTGTATTTGGGTGACAATGAGAATGAGTGGTTATAAACCAAAACATAACCTCTCTTCAAGGTTATGACTAGTGATTTTTAGTCCTTTAGTTGGTGGTAATATGTAAGGATTTGTAGAGATTTAGTATTATGGCGTTAACAATCGTACGTAACTCGTCCAAAATGTGTTAACCGGACTCGTATGGTAATCCCACTCGTCTGGTAAACACTTATTTTCAGGACTAGTAACATAATATACTATTACCTACGACCGTTTTTTAAAGTAGCCGTTTCAGTTCAGTTCTTATTTTAGGATTGAAAAGTTTCACATAACAGCATTGTTTACTTTCATAACAGCATAGTTTTACTCATTTTTACTCAACAACACGGGTAACAGACCAATGAGGTTCAAGGATTGAGAGAGAAGAAGTAAAATTGTAATGATTTGAGTTCAACTAATCAGCTGTTCACGCCAACTTAATTGTTGAGTGGTGCAATTAGTGTTTAGCAGCGTTGCCGATTCCGGGGATTGGGTTGCTTGTATTAGCTGTATACATGTTTTTATTTTGAATTTCAGGCTTCAACTCATTTTGCACTACCTTTTAGCTAGTGAACCTTTATACTACCTACAATTACAAATGTAATTTACCTTAGAATGTCCTAACTCAGCCCCTGTCACACGGAGCTGGTTTTTTCACCGCTAGTAACTAGCAGCTAGAACCAGCATAAAACCAGCATCGTGTGAGCTGCTAGAAACACTCGCATGAGCAGTATCTCTAACCGCTGGAGAGTGTAAACAGTTAAATATTACGAGCGCTTGAAGAGTCAGTCACTAGCAGGTCTTATGCCCATCCAGCTGTGGTCTCTAGTGCCATTCCAGCTCCGTCTGACAGTATCGTGCTAGTTCTCGCAATAAGAAAAATGAATTTAAATAATTTAATACATTTAAACTAATCAAGAACAAATTTAAAACTTCATGTTTTTCATGCATTGCCATAATTTTCTCGTAGTTATGATGGCTGATCATAGTCAAAACATAACTTCAAAAACCAACATACGACATTATTTTTGGTAACTACACAAACAGTCCCAATCACATCACCAGACCTGTAGTTGTAGCACTAGTTCTCCAGTTTCGTCTGACAGGACAACTAGCAGCTAAAGCTGTTGGATTTCGCAGCAAGAACTAGCTGCTGAAACAAGCTCCGTGTGACAGCAACTCATTTTAAGTTAACCAAAGAAGTGTTTGGGCACCCAAAGTATAATCTACTTAAGTTTTGTTAAGAATCAAAGTTGACTACTTTCTACACCCTACTATTTTCTTCTGAGGAAGCCCTCAGTCAAGAAAAATATCAAGTTAGTTGTATTGTGAACTTTTTGTGTGCTTTCATCTGCCTGGAACTCTATTCTTGGCCAAGTTAGGTGTATAAACAATAAACATCTACACTACATTCATTCTTCTGGGTTTGAAAGTTTCACACTTGAATGAAAGCACCCCTACACAGTATAGTTTCACTGTTATACATTTGAATAACGTCTGTTATCTGATGCATACCCGGCACTCTAAGTTACTACACTGGCTCCTATTACTTTCTCCCCCTATACCATAGTATATGGAGAAAGTATTGTTTTCGTCAAAATTTTCGAGTTTGAGTTTTGAGTGGATATATTCGTTTTGGGTCCCCCTGGACCCAAAAAAGTGGTTTTCGAAGTGATGTCTGTGTGTCTGGATGTGTACAGAGCTAGAGACTACACCTGTGGTCCGATTTCGATGAAATTTGGTATGTAGGTTCTAATCCATGGTATCTCCAGGTGTTTTTTTCATTTTTTTTTTAATTTAGATTTTTAATGGGGATTTTCCCATAAAAACCCATAAAAAACCGGAAAAATCAAATTTTCACAAAAATGGCCCGAACGATTTTGATAAAAATTTTGTATGTTGTAGCCCTTTAAATAATTCTGAACAAACTGGTAAAAATCCCATTTCTCTAAAAATTACGGTTCAAAAGTTATGGTAAATTATGTTATTTTCCCATAAAAACCCCATAAAATAACGAAAAATAGGATTTTAGAAATAAATCTGGTTTTTATTCAACATAGTATGTTATGGTCCTTACAAATTTGATAGTTTTTTTCCATTTTTTAGAAATTTTGATTTTTAATGGGGATTTTCCCATAAATCCCCATAAAATAACGGAAAAATTGGATTTTCCCAAAAACGGCAAGAACGATTTTGATAAAAATTTAGTATTTTATGGTCTTTTATATTCTGAACAAAATGGTGCAAATCCCATTTCAGTAAAAATTACGGTTTAAAAGTTATTTTAAATTATGTTATTTTCCCATAAAATAACGGAAAAATCAGATTTTTCCAAAAATGGCCCGAACGATTTTGAAAAAAATTTAGTATGTTATAGTCCTTTAAATTCTGAACAAAATTGTACAAATCCCATTTCCGTATATTTACTCTCACCGCTTACACATGATAAAGGTTGTTAACATACTTATGGGAGAAAGTATGTGTCAGAATGCTGATACCGTTTATCTTAGTTAGGTCTGACAGAGCTAGGTGTGTGAGCCCCACCTTTAAACAGGTAGGAGTTGAAGGGACAGGTGTATTCTTTGTGGTCATAGCCTGCCTGTTTATTGCTCTTTACTTGCCTAAATTAGAATTTTGATTTTGTGTTCAAAGGGAAACGTTATAAAAAGCTATAATTAAATCGATTAATTAAACCTGGACCTGAAAGGTTGGCTACTCCATCCATAGTCACGGTTTGATCCTGGGATAAGATCAGTAGCTTTTTGTTTGTATGAAATTGGACCAAGATGTGTTTTATCATTGAACCTTTAAAAACAATTCTGTCAAAAGAAACAGCTATAAATGGTACAAAGCATTTCACTGCATCCACTACTTATCCTTCATTCATATTAAGGTAATCCAGTTGCGATCCCATCTGGATGGAATGTACCAAAAACCAAAATGAAATGTAAAAGAGTGACCGGTCTTTACATCACTAGGATTTAAAAAGGAGAATTGGAGTTTGAAAAAATAAAAGATCTAATTTGAGAAATGTTTAATAATGTAAGCATGAATTATAATAAATATTTCAGCAATTGGCTAACATAAAATTAGACATATTTTTTTAAACAAACCAAAAGAGTGCTTGTAAGATTTCCTATATTACAAAAAATGTAAAAAGTGACATTTAAACCCAAACAAGACGAGACGAGACAAATTAGAAGTAACCAATAAAAGAATTTTCAAGTGTTGTTAAAAAAATATTACATTAGAACGTGGGCAAAGATGAATATATAACAATAACACTGTTTATAAAGCAATATATTTATAATGCGATAAATTCTACACTAATGATTAACTTAAATATTTATAGAATTAATGTAAAAATAGGAAATTGTTTTAATTAATTGGGAAACGTTAAAATGTACCAGCACTTAAGATCATTCCACGAGGGTTCTCTTCACTATCTTCAAAAAAACACCAAGTTTTACTAAAAGTGAAAAAAAGAAAATTAGCTACATAAAGTCTAAAACTGAAGAAAACAAATAAATTATAAGTATAAAATATTTTACATCGATAAACACAAGTTTGAGATTAAAATTAATTTATTCTCCTTCTAAAAGTGCTAATCGGAGGACACACTAAAGCTGCATATAAACCACACATCTCATCCTACAAAACGAACAATAAGGATTATCAGCCATTAAAACAATTTCCCATCACTCATGCATGACAAAAGCGTTTATTTACTATGTACAAAATATTAGGCTTAATTATTTTCTATATAAAAACATCACATAAAAACATGTGACTTGTTATACTAAGGATTACAAAGACATCAGCATTTATTGTTCCTTATATATAATATTTATATAATATTATCTAGTCTATTCAGAAATGTGTCAGCATATTGCAATAAACCTACATAATATTGCAATACAAATTTATACAAGTGGTTAATCAAGTTATATTAAGGTTTAAAATATTTAGAAACAAATCTTAATCAATTTTACTTCATTCCTCAAGATGGGGTAAAATATCATCAATAATATTGCGTTCATATGTTTATCACTCATGTTGAATCACTGTCTGCCTGTAACTTATTGCACAATAAAACCAATAATAAGCTTATTATTTTTATAAAAATTGTGTACTTTAAATATATGACAAAATATTTTAAATTATAACTTATATGTTTAAAGTAAAAAGTAAAATTAGCAAATGAATATACTTCAATCAACAGAACTTAATGTGATTTTAAGAACACAACATTTGTTGTTATTACAATTGAACCTATTAAATCTAAATTAATAATATGTGTCCATATTTCCAATTCATTTTAGTATCAACCCAAAAGATAGATTCATTATATTTATTTTATTATGATAGGCCTAGCCTTAAAATGTCCTGGAATCAATTTTCGCTACTAGAAAAATTGTAATTGTTAATGTGTCACACATCCAATGAAAAATAATACCCGATGTATGATATTCAGTAATCAATCCACAATCCAATAATTGAACATATGTTACAGTACATTTTAATGAATTAAGGGTTCTATTTTAAGTTACATTTTTTATTATTGAATGAGTGATGTTTTTTGTACAGTATGCTTATTATTTCTATATGTATTATTACAAGCCTAGTCTGAAGGTTTTAATTATTGTGTTGTGTAGGACAAAAAAAATAGCTTTTAAGGTTTGAACGAATAAAAAAAACCTTGTTTTAGAAAAAAACAAAAAAAGTGTTTATATCCGTCACAGAGTACAAACTTAATGACAATGACTCATTTACAAGTGAAAATATGTCTTTGCATAGGTAAAGCTAAAATTACAATTTATATTGAATAGACCTTTAAGCTTTAATATATATCTATAAGTTATTTAAACCTCATACTTTAAGGGATTCTTTATACCATAACGGTTTTAATGCTATGGTGTAAAATGGCTGGGCCATTTCTTTATCGTTGCAAATTTAGAGTTAACTGTACATACTTTTTATGTTTCCCACATCGCTATTTTACACAATTTAATATTGAATGCATATATAAATCGCTTACAAACATTAATCAAATGTTCCTAAATTAAAAATGCTTCTAAAAACTGTTAATGTACATATTGATTTGTTACGACTAGGGGTTGGGACAGTTGCTATGCGCTAGGCTGAGCATGCTGCCGGAGAGGCTATCGTCATCAGGATAAGACTCCTTGGAAGCTTCTGCGATCGCTAGAGCACTAAATCCCAGCCTCGCTGACTCCTCATCAAAATCCTCCAATTCTCTGTCTTGCCTCTCATGAAGGAGACGAATCCTCTCCGATCGTTCCTGAAGAAACTGTGTCGTTTCCATCTCCATTTTCCTCTCGAGAAGGGACTTCCTCACTGCAACTCGATCTTCAAGCTCCTTCCTCTCCCTATTCCTCTGAGCCTCGGCTTGCATCTTGTTTTTACTTTGATATGCCATCAAGATCTCAAGCTCGTAATGCAGCCTATCCTTAAGATGCTGACATTCTACTTCTTGTGACTCGTCCAGTCTAATTGACTGCTTCTGGAGCATTTCAGCAATGCTCTGCTCATACTGCTCTCCAAGCAGTGCAAGTTTGCGCCTCTGTTCTTCTTTTAACTTTTTTATGACTGCTTTTTGTTCATCTTTCGGTGTTGTAGCAAGAATCTGCGCTTTGAGAGCTTTATACTGTCTGGTTTGTATCTTGCATGTTTCTCTGAACTGTTTTCGAATCTGCATTTCTTTTTGCTTCAAGCTTTTCGGTTGTTGTTTCAACTCCAAAGCGTGCTTCTTTTTGAGATCTCTCTCTGCCCGTGTCATGTAGTCATGCTGATTTTGTTGCTCTATTTGATGCTGTCTTAAAACCTGTTCTTCTCTCAATTGGTGAACTGCTTTTTGTTGACGATATTCCAATTCTTGGGTTTTCTCGTGATGGCGTAATAGCATTGAGTGAGCTTGCTCTAACTGTGTTTGTCTCTTGTTCAATTCTTCCCTTAACAGTTCTTGTTCTAGACTATGGAAAGCCAGCAACTTTTTACGGTGAAATTTTCTTATTTCCAATTCCAAATACTCTTTTTGGCCTAATACTAACCTTTGCTCTTCTCTCGCTTCTATCTGCTTCAGATTTTCTTGCTGACTTTGGAGTGCGGCATCTTTTTGTCTTTTAGGTGTTGAATCGTCTTGACTGAGTTCCCGTTTCCACCTTTCTTTATTCGCCTTGAATTCCTTCTTCCTCTGAGCATCAAACACTTTCCTATCCTGTTCTTGACGGCTGCTGATTTCTTTGTAAAGTTTCTTCTCAGCTGAAGCATTGTGTTTCATTTTCTTTTCGAGCTCTTGCTGATGTTTTATCTGTAATTTTTCCAACTCTTTGCTGAACTGTTGCAAGAGAGCTTCATACTCTTTGTCCAACACTTGCTTGTGATTGTCCATTTCGACTTTACATTTTTCCTCCAACTTGATCAACGCACCTTGCTGCTCTCTGCGCATTCTCTTGTATCCCGTCATCTGCTCGTGCATTTCTTCCTGCATATGCTCTTTCTGCTGTTTTGTGACGATCGAAGTAGTTCTCAGAGTTGCGAAATTGTTAGGCCCATGCTCCACCAAAGCACTAGAATTGCTCCCTTTGTGACGGTTCCGCATGGAGGGAGGGTAATTGTCATGGTTGACTTCGGGTGCTGGTGGAATGCTGTTTGTAGAGCTGCCTTGAGACGAAGCACTTACGCCCATTGACTGCACAGAATGTTCAGATGTAATGCTGTCACTCTTGCTGCTATCTGCTCCAGTCTGTTCATCGGGTGTGTCGTCGGGATCTCCTACTGTGCTTTCACTTTCACAAGAATCTATCATAAGGATCTTTTTTGTTTTTCTATAATTTTGGTTATCTAGCTCATGAACTGCTGCTTTGGTTCGCTGAATCAAGTCTATTAAAACATGAGGAGACCTACCACTACCAACGAATGAATGTGATAGAAGTTTCCCAGAAGTGGGTCGTTCTAATGGGTTTTTCTGCAGACAAGAATCAACAAAATGTCTAAAAGTGTCACTCCACTCAGGAGACTGAAGAACGGGAGTATCGTTCTGCGCTATGTGGTATAAAGCACTCATAGCATTCATGTTGAAGTATGGCGGCTTTCTCTCAGCAAGTTCTATACAAGTGATTCCCAGTGACCAGACATCGACTTTGCCGTCGTATTGGCCTTCGTCCATGGCAAGGATGACTTCAGGTGCCATCCAATACGGGGTGCCCACAAAACTGTTTGCTGGGCACTTGATGCTGGCAGAGCCAAAGTCTGCCAGCTTGACTGTTCCATTTTCGGTGAGAAGTATATTACCTGCTTTTATATCTCGATGAATTCTATCCAAGGAGTGCAAATAATGCAAACCCTGCAAAACTCCTTCACAGATTGCACCAATCTCCTCTTCCTTAAGTGGTCGCTTATGAACTTCTATGATGTCTGAAGCAGAACCGAGGCAATACTCCATGACCAACCATGCCGTGTGGTCGCGTAAGTAACACCCTTTGTACTCAACTGTGTTAGGGTGGTTCAACTGCCTCAAAAAACGAATTTCTTTTAAGATATCTTGCCACTTTTCCAAGCTCTGTTTACCCAAATACGACATCTTCTTGATAGCGACAATTTCTTTGGTGATAAGGCAACGGGCATAGTAGACAGCACCAAAACTTCCATGGCCGATTTCTCGAAGATCATCAAAGATTTTTTCAGGATCTTCTTTCTGGAAGAGGTCAGCAATCTCAGGGTCTTTCAGACTTCCAGGACGTGCAGGAGGAGGCATAGTATTCCTGGAACAATCAAAACACGTCTATTAGTACATTTTATAAATATAAAATGTGATGATATGATCCAAAACCAAGGGACAAGATGACAATTTTACGAATGATAAATTATGTAATAAATGGCTTGAAATGGAAAAACAACAATTTTGATCCAACAATTGAAGGCAATTGGAAACTAATGATTTAAAAAATTCTACTTGCATTTCTGCTACTGCACTTTTTAAACTGATGGATCAAAGATTAACATTGGCTAAACTTAGCCTAGATAACTGATAACTAAAAAATAAAAAAAACAAAAGCCCTTATGTGTGAGGGAGAAGGTGATGAGCTTGACTCTAGTGACATATTAGGCCTTAGGCCCCTCACCCACTATACGATATCAGTCGTACCACACTGTGTCGGACCAACCACATTCCAATAGTGAAACATTGGATCTTATGAGCGCTCGCCCACTGTACGACCACAACAAACTGTCGTGGTGCAGTCGTCCACTGCCATTGTGATCCACGACTGTCGCCCGACTGTCGTGCTCACAGTGGCGTACACGACCAAATGGGGGCTCACCCACACTACGTTTTTTCTCCAGTTACATCTGTGTGTAGCTGAGAATTTCTTAGCATGTTAATTGTTGCCAAACTCTTGTCGTGATACAATTATGTCTAAACAAATTAAAATATTTCATGATGGGTAGCCTCTGGACCATACAGCAACAATAATAATGGTTTAATTTACCTCTGTCAATATGGTCCTTGCGTAGTTTGTCACTACTGCAGTTTCGTGCTCGTGGAGCATATCATCAGGTGAAGGTCACAAAAAGTTAAAACATTTTCCTCACGTGAAGGTCGTCAATTTAACACACCGAAAAAACACATAATACACGAACGGTACGAAAAAACATTTGAACTTGGCCAATACATTAAAGACGTTACACACGGGGTCCGGCGCCGGTAGAAGGCAATTCATGACTGACGTGTGTTGTAGTCGGTAGCCCCTCCGTCCTCACTTCTCTTATCAGGACCTTTTCTTTGGTCTTGTTCCAGGATGTGAATGGCGGTATTATAAATAATGTTTGACTGGAATGAGAGTTGTTCGTTTAAAATATGGTTTGGATGTACTTTAGCTGCTCGGTAAATCTCAAATTTTTCGATGGTGTCCATGTATTTACTTTTATGACAAGTATGCATTACTTCTAAATTTGTTTGTATATCGGTATAACTATGGTTTGAATCAATGATATGGTTGGCAAAAGCTGATTTGGAGTTCTTTCTAGGTAAATGTTCCTTAAATCTAGTTGCAAAAGAGCGTGATGTTTGCCCAATATAAAAACTGGGGCAATCATTACATGTTATTTTATACACTCCAGTGTTGTTTAATTTGTCGCTATTGTCAGTTTGTCTTTCTTTTAAATTACTGGACAGTTTGTTCGTGGTTTTGTAAGCAACTGTGATATTGTTTTTTGCTAATTCTTTTTTGAGAACATTATTAAGTACAATGCCATATTCTGCACTAACATATTTTTTGGGTTCTTTTGTATGTATCTGATTATCCTTTATCTTGTTTCCTAATCAGTTTGTCGATCAGGGCACTCTCATATCCGTTAGATACTGCGATGTATTTTAATATGTCTATTTCATTGTTGTAATTTTCTGGGCTTAGTGGTATGGAAAGCAGTCTATGGACATAGATATTGTAGGCAGATAATTTATAATTATGGGGATGATGCGGTTCAATGAATTGTCTGGTCAGTGGTTGTAGGTTTCCGGTAAATTTTAAAATCAAACCTGTTGTTTGCTCTTGTGATGGTAACGTCCAGGAAATTTAATGTCTTATTTTTCTCAATTTCAACTGTGAATGTCAAGTTCTTGTGAAAAGTATTAAAGTATGTGCTGAGTAGCTTAATCTGCCTTTCATTACCCTGGAACACGATAAATGTATCGTCTACGTATCTGCTATAATGGATGATTTTGCTCTTATAGCGATTAAAATCAGAGAATAGAAACTTGTTTTCAATTTTATTTAAAAACAGTTCTGACAGAACACTGGAAAGAGGCGACCCCATTGTCAGTCCCTCGTTTTGTTTGTAATATTTGTTATCAAACATGAAATAATTCTTTTTTAAAACACATCTTGTTAAGTTTATAAGTTCGTTTTTAGCCTCGTAAGACAATGTAGAGTGTGTATTTAAATTATCTTTCAATATATCTAACGTTTCGTCGATTGGTACGTTAGTAAATAAATTTACAACATCAAATGAAGTGAGTATATAGGATCCCTTTAGGTCAATGTTAGATATTTTATTTACCAAATCAATTGTATTCTTTACACTATGGTCATTTTCTAACTTGGTTTCCTTCCTAATAATCTAATCTAATAATCTGTGCAATTTTATATGCCGGTGACGGTCTATAATTAACTAAGGGCCTTATTGGGACGTTTTGTTTTGTTTAAATAATACTTTAATGTATTGGCCAAGTTCAAATGTTTTTTTGTACCGTTCGTGTATTATGTGTTTTTTCGGTGTGTTAAATTGACGACCTTCACGTGAGGAAAATGTTTTAACTTTTTGTGACCTTCACCTGATGATGTGCTCCACAAGCACGAAACTGCAGTAGTGACAAACTACGCAAGGACCATATTGACAGAGGTAAATTAAACCATAATTAAATTAAAATAGCTAACCAATTATGTTATTTCAACGATCAATATATATAGAGTAGTTCTAAGGACCAAGAGACAAATTCTAGCTACAAAAGTTAGATGAGACGAAGCCCTGATTAATAGTATGGTCATGTTTGATGGTAACCTAACCTAGACCAAACCAAATTGTATTATTGACTAGCTGGCCCGACAGACGTCGTCCTGTCCTAATGTGGTTTTATGTCAAACGCTCGTTCATTTTCAAGATGAGCTCGATCGCATGGCTCAATCACGTCTTGGTTGCGCTCACTTGCCTTCAGGTTAGCTCGTTCGCTACGCTAACTCACCTCCAGGTTGAAGTTTGTTCGCTACGCTCACTCACCTTTTGGTTGCAAATTAGCTGTTGTCATAAATAAAAAAAAAAAAAACTATAGTGCTGCACCCAGTTGGTAAAGCCTATTAACTTTTTAAAGCTATGTAGCCGGGGGGCCGTTTGATGGGGTATACCGGGGTTATGGTATGGTACCGGGAAGGGAGATCGGTGGGAATTCGGGTAATCAGGAGGGAATAAACAGGGTAATGCTAATAGGTTAGGAATAGGTGTGTCTGGACCAAACTTAATTTAAGCATGCTGAATCTGCTACCAATAAAATTAGGAAGATTGCTGGGGACCAGAGGGACGGAGACCTTTTACCCAGATCAGAACACTTGCCTAGCCAGCTTTGATTTGCACTAATTGAACTAACTATTTAAGTATTAACCTATCCTTCCAACTATGAACTGAACTTGGACAATTACTTACTAATATTGATGCGTGAGTGAAATAATATGTAAATTGAATACTGAATGGTTAATATGTATGAATTTGATTGATAATTGGTAAGCTACATTCTGGGAACATGTGGTTTAGTTTTTCATGTTTAAAAAGGTTGGTTGCAGAAGGCAACCAACCCACTGAGTTGTGATTTCCTACATTTCAATGGTCGGGTGAGCCAGAAAGGCTCTGCTTGTTTCCTGACTTAGCCAAGCATTATTCAACTTATTTTCAACATAAATATAATTTATGACAACTTATCCAATGCATCAGTAGAGCAGGTCCAATAATTTGGTTCTTGTTCTCGGGGCAGCTGTAGAAGAAGTAGAAGGAGAGGGATCGAAGAGGTGGGAAGGTGGGGGAGAGACGTTGATGCAATCGCGGCAGGCAACGAGATGTCATGCAGCCCGGCTTCGCGAAATGCTTACACTATATAATATAGCGTGCCACTATGCGTCACAGCTATTGAACATCACAGAATCAAATTATTTAGTTGAACCGGCTGTTAAGATTCTTTAATTCCATTTAAATAGAGTTATGGCTTACTAAACCAAGCCAAACCCAAGTAAATGGAGTTGGTTACTTATGGCTGTAGCTATAAGGTTAACATGGGAAACTCCAGAGCCACTGGGGCGGAGCCCTTTTGACGGATCTGCACCAAACTTCACACAAACCACCCTTGAATAATGCTTAATAATGCCTGAAAGTTTCATTACAATCTGTCGAACAGTTTCGGAGTCCATAAAGGACAAACAAACAAACAAACATACATTGGATTTTATATATATAACCTAAATTCAAGAAGAATTTGGTTTTTGTTTAGTTTGTTGTGATAAAGTATACTTGGGGGGGGATACAATATATATACTTTTATTGGGGTTACAATGGTGCTCAGTTGATTCTGGCTGCAACTGTAAATTAGGGGACAGTGTTTGGCAGTCAAAAAATACTGAGAGGGTTTGAAGTTGAGACGGAGGCTCAGTTGGTAGCACATTGGACTATGAATCTATAACAGCTATGTAATGTGTTTGCGTACTGGTGCTCTCACTAAATTTTATCAGTACAGTTAACTCTTGACTGTATAGGCTTACCCTTTGTTTTACTGGAAACAATTAATAAACACACAGCCACAAGGAACAGCCAAGTGCAAGATAAAAAGTGGCTACCAACCTCTGAAAAAATAACTCCCAACCACCACCCAGTATTGTGCTAATCACCGAGATATTGCTAAGACAACTAGTTTGAAGAAAACACTGTTTTAATTGCACTTTAATCCTAAACAAAGGCAATCAGCAACAGTAGGCTATTATTGAATCTTTATATAGGGCCAGCTAGCAATTTTCGCTTCTTTCGTTCTCAAAAATCAAATTGTTGACTTAATAAAGTTGTTTACTCACTTGCCTACACATCTCTTAAGCGTTTTTAGATTTATAGGTTACAATTTTGCTATTACCGTATTAACAAATCTATCAGTTTCTCTTAATTTAAAGACTGCCATGATAACTTAAACTGAAAACAAACCTAAAAGTTAAAAGTTGATTGTTTACTTTTCATTTAATCAGACCTATAATAGTAGGCCTATATTATTAGCCATGAAAATATTACATATTTAAGCCAAAGTCTAATCCAGGGAATCAATACTTGGCCAAACAATAACTGTAACCATAAGCACTGATGCTTTCGAAAGTCTTGTAAAAGTATTCTGAAGCGCCAAAGTAGTGTTACGGAAATTTTGTATGGGTCAAAACCAATGAGCAACGACAATACACAAAGGTAAGAGAAATAAGAATGATAAAAGTCAATAACTGAAAATAAATCAGAGGTTCTCACAAGATTTGCAGATTACACTATATTCCCTTAAACCCATTTACAACAGATTTTTTTTTAATTATTTATTTATAACTTTTTAGGTCCTTTTATCCTTATGTATGTCCTTTAATAAATTTTACTATATAGGCCTGTGTATTGCAACACAATACATCCATTTTTAACCAAATAAAAGCTAAAAAAGAAATATCTGTCCTCCTCTACAACAATGTAAAAAGAAGCAAAACAGCTGTTGTGTGCAATCCTTATTACTCACTAATGCCGTCAACTTCCATCCTAAGCCCGGACACCATTTATTTTTTTAAGGTGGGCTCTCCACTCTCCAAATCAATACTCAATACTGATTGCATATATGTAAAGAATTCGAACCCGGGCATGTTGAAAGACTGCAGCAGTGCTTGTCAGTGCAAAACCTAAAGCAAACTGAGCTACCATGCCACCTGTCGGTCGAAGGGGTGTTGCCAGTACGGGTCTTAAATAGGGCTTGCCAGTATGCCCTATACAACAACATTACTGTAGTGCTCTTTGGTTAGATTCGACGTACTAATTGAGGGCCAGGGGGTAATCAGTACTACTATCTCATGGAGAAATACAGTCATGGGATAGACCCCTAAGTCAATGGGTTAACAATTGTCGGTACCGGTAAACCAAAAGAAGCTGGAATCTCTAGCGCACATTACTCAAAAGTGTTGGCAAAATCGGTTTTACAAAATAAAATTTGATATGGTAGGCCTATACAACTCCTTAATCCACATAGACCAAAATTTTACCACAGAACAAAATCGCTAATCTGTCACCTACAGGACCGGGACCTTTGTCGGAACAGTGACTGAAGATGATAATGATGTGACCGTGACAGCGGGGGATAAACAATATCTTTTCAGCGATTGCGGAAGACAGTGATGCAATGTCCACACGACCATGGGAAACGTGCTTGATATTACCGTAGTAACATTGTCACCAATTGGCAAATTGCACAGTCAGATTATGTGAGGAGTCGGACTAGCTGAGGTCAGATAGGCAGGGTTCTATTGTATGCAAACGGAGTAGATGGTTCAACATAAAAGCGTAGCCTATGAGAAAACTGCTGCCAAAAGAAATCTATTATAGACTAATAACAAACAAATCTTAACCCTGATTTGTTCCACTGTTGCTTACACCTACAAAATATTTTTAAATCCCAAAGACAGGCTGAAGACAGATTAAAATATTTGATTGTTAATGGTAATATCTACTAATAAAACAAACTAAGGCCGACAGAATGGGTTACACCACAGAAAACGTGCTACTATAACCCAGAATGCCAACTGCATGGTAAAAAGCATTAAGCATTTTGAGAGAGCTTTGCCTGTCAATCCGTAGGCAGCGCCACAAAAGCATAGCAACGCTGGTGGCGCTGCCTACGGATTGACAGGCAAAGCTCTCTCAAAACGCTTAATGCTTTTTACCATGCGGTTGGCATTCTGGGTTATAGTAGTACGTTTTCTGTGGTTACACTTTGCAAAAGTAATAAAGACAATAGACTGGGCTGGGCACTCTAGACGAACAAAGATTACAGACCTAAAGCCTACACCGAAAATAATTTGTCAGAATCATTTTGAACAACAAACTATAGTATAAAGGCCGGCGCACACATAGACAGACAGACTCTCACAGACGTGCGGACTAAAATTCACTCCCCATGTTATCAATTGTGGCAACACTGACAATGCACACAAGAACCCGTCCGTCTGCCAGAGACCGTTTGAGTTTGCAGACGGATTTTTTGGAATTGCCTCTTAAAAAAAAAAAATGCTTCTGGCTGCGCATGCGCTAGAGGTGATTTCAACGTTAATTCTACGGGCACTGGAACCAACGGCAAGCCCGGGAGTATCTTGCTTGGATTGCAGCAAAAGTAAGTGGAAGAGTATGTGTGACTTGACCATCTGTTTTTGTAAATATTTGAACGTGTTATGTGTTTTAACTTCGACAACACTGCTTCAGCCGAAATCTATTCCTGATTGCATTGTAATGCTAAAACACCTGCATCATAATTTACTAAAGTCAAGCCGTTCATAGCGGTAAAGCATATTTTTAGTTATAGCTCAGAGCCATAAAATTGATTTTTAGAATAGGCCAGTTTTTCAAATTATAATTATAAAAATTGGGTAGTATAATTCTAGCCCACAGTTATGCAAGTTCCAATTCTCAAATCTTTGTTTCCCACACCAAATTTAGGGTTGTAGTCAGCAGTCCGTATTGTACAGTCAGGACAATTAAAATTCAGGTTAACCTTACCATGCTCAATCTAGCTAACAAAAGTTGACTTTGTATAATAAAAGACCATAGAACAAGAGTGGCGGATCTGCATGGACTCTGCCTATCCACCACTATAATAATTATATAGACTAATGAAGATGTAATACCAACATCAACACTAAGAAATTTTTGGTTTAAAACTAATGGTCCCATAATTTATGATTATTAAGTTAAATCCTCATTAGTTTTTGAATAGGCATCCCTCCTTTTAACTTTTATCATTTTCAATTCCCTCAAAAAATGACCAGATAAATAAATAGGTTCTAAATGTTGTACAATTAAGCTTAACTCTAATGATTATTATTCTTATAGGTACAATAATGAACTTACTCTTTTTTTGAAATACTAGGAATAATATAGCTGTTGAGCAGTCAGGTAACAAAGTATCATTGCACCTGAAACAAAGAACTAAGATTAAAAATATATCCACAGAATGAAAATATATACGGTATTAGCCTATTATTTACAGCAAGTTTTAGAACTCATTTAGGCCCTAACCACAATCCGTTTAGCAAAACCTGGGCTACTTGCATAGTAAATTCAAATCAACTGAGAAATTAGCTGGGCAACAGGAATTGTCCCCTGTGACATGAGCAGTTGGGGGACTTGGCTAGTGAAATTTACTGCCTTTCAATTCAAACGATTAAATAACCAAAAAAAATTGATTAAAAAACAACTTTGCCCGTTTATATGAGGCTGAACAACAAGGTCCATCTAATCAGGCGTCAGGTATCCTAAAAGGGTTTACCTACAGTAGAACCCCTCATATCTGATTATGACGGGACATAGCCATGGTCGGAACAATACAAAAATCGGACATCGGGAGAAACATAGCTTGCAGTCTCTGTGACAAAATTAATCTTCTCCCGTGATCACAACAACACCTGTGAGCATATTTTGCGGTCTCGGTGACACCAGTACTCAACACCTGTGAATGGGGTAACATCCAAGGGCATATCTGGCGGTCCCAGCGACAGCGGTGATCGTCTGCCACAACTACTGCAAAACCATTCTGACTTTCAGTAAACCGAAAGCAGTCACTAGTCAGTGTTATTGCTCCAGACAGAACAAGTATGCCTAGGTCAGACATCCTCAAGAGTCGGTTCGATGCCAAAAACGGATATAAGGGGTTCTACTGTACTAGACCTTAGTATTGCATAGGAAAAACATTAGATGTTATTTATTTTTAGAATTTCATCAAACCATCTTAGCCTAACAAAACTTTGTGTTAGCCTATTTAAAACTTAGATTTAGAAATGAGCACCAGTCAACCCCTATTGACAGATATGACAGGCAAATGATTAAAACTTAGAGCTAGGTAGCCTAAAAGTTATTTTATAAGGATATGGTCCAAGAATAACAAACACTAGCCTACGTACAATTTCTCAGGTTTGGCTGACAAGTGCATCGATAAGTTTCCCACTGAGATTTTTAAAATGTCTAAAGGTTGCCTCAAACTATCATAAGCTTAACATCTATGGCAAAGCCCTCACTGACTGACTCACTCACTCACTCATATCACTAATTCTCCCACTTCCCATTTACCTAGGAGGCTGCAATTTGGTACACTGATTCTTTAGGCATTAAATAGGAAAACTAAGTTGTTTTTATTCTGATCAGACTCTCGGGCTCCGCCCCAGTGGCTTTGGAGTTTCCCATGTTAACCTTATGAGTACTCATGTTTATAAATGGAATTAATGAATCTTAACAGCTGTTTCAATTAAACAAGTTGGTTCTGTTCTATGATGTGCAATAGCATTAAAGTTACAAGGATTACCAACAGGGTGCAGCACTATTATTTTTTTAAATTTATGACAACAGCTAATTTGCAACCAAAAGGTGAGTGAGCGTAGCGAACGAACTTCAACCAGGACGTGATTGAGCCATGCGAACGAGCTCACTTATGAAGTAAAACGGGGCAAAGCCCGCGGGTACAGCTAGTTAATTCATGCATATTATGTAACGTAACTAATTCCATCACCAATATTTTTACGGACATATTCCTTAAGAACTTACAATAAGTCTGGCTTTTGAATTACAGCCGGTCAAATGGCACTTGTTCAAAATACATTTAATTGGTCAGGTCTGATTTGACAAAGGACACTTGGTTGACTAATGAACTTACGAAACGCAACTACCGGTAACTTTTATCAGGCTATTATAACTGGAAAACCTCAAATTTTTTTAAGGGAGCACTGTAACAATTTAATTACCCCATTAAATAGGCCTACTGTCTGTTTTGTGTGGTCTGTTTCTTTACCTTTAGCATTTTTAACATATTTTGTAAGAAAAAAACAAAACCACAATCACAGGTTTTGGGTGTGTTGCTAGCCTAGTTGTTAGCGTTTCGGACTTCATGAGAAGAACGGGTTTGATTCCCGGCACACCCACAAAACGTTAAGTTATGGGTTTGAACCGTTAAGCACGGTAATTAAGTTAAGTTAACGTGACTTAGGCCTACCGTAATTGATAGGCTTAGTCTAAAGATAAAAAGCTTCAACTTTGTTTAGAAAAATTATCTTATTGGAAAAATTAATTATGACTAGGCCTAGCTTTGGCCTACCTATTTAACTTAACTTAACTAGGCTATCTGAAATTGGTTTTCACTTAGGTTCAGACTTAATTTTATGTTGTCCTAGCAATTTAAGGTCTAGGTCTACTGGTCTGAGACATTTTAGGCCTACCAAAGAATAAAAAGTGAATCTCAACTGAATAAACTTGCTAGGCTAGGACTGGTTCTAAATTGTATGGTAAGTAGGCCTGATAAGTTAATGTTTGGAAGTTTGCTTTAATGTGAATTAAATTTCAAGTCAATGACCTAAGTAGCCCTAGCTAAATGCTAAGTTTTAAGTTAAGTTACACCATTAGTCAAATTACCTACTTAACCCTCCAAGTGTCCATAGTTTAGGCCTTAATGTCCACCTATTTTTGGCGCATTTGCAAGGTTTTATTAAAACGGATCTGAGAAGCTTAAAACAATGTTAATTCTAATGTTCTATATACCATTTTGTTTGGAAAATCATGGGCTTCAATATTATATATAAAACATAAGGAACATTTTTTCAAAAAAAAAAATTTTTTAGGTAAAAAAAATATAATTTCGAAAATTTTCAAAAAAAAAATAAGTTCGCGCCTAATGAAATTGTATAAATTATAGGCCTATAAATATTTGAAAATAGCCACTTTGTTCTAAATTTTATGAGGATTACAAATATATAATAATATAAGGAAGTATATTTGCAAATAAATAAGTTATGGGCAAAAAACTGATTTCAGTACATAGCGTTTAGCTAAGAATGCATAGCCTAACCATAGCTAGGAATCTGGCTGATAATTTACATCAATATCACTACCTACTTCTTCAGGATCATCAACCAGCACTTCAAAACCACTTAAATCTTCTTATAATGCACCACGTATATCACTACTTTTGATTTTTAACACTAAAACAATGATAAACGTAATAAAACACATATCAGTCATCGGTCCGGGGGAACCTAGCTGTTTACAAATACACGCATGTCAGCTGTCTGCTACAATATTTTCAGAACTAAAATGAATAGCGCTTAGAGACAGACATCTGGAGACAGCTTAGAATGTAACGGAAAGAACGATACCTAACTCGATCCAGTTCAATCCGATTCAGTCAGTTATAGAGCCTTCGCCGTAAACGATGTCTGCTTGTCGAAAAATCGGCAAGTAACACTATACAAAGTGTGGTGCTTGCCGAATTTTCGTCAAGTAACACTGGGAGGGTTAAATACACGATATAATAGGCCTAACTTATCATACACTCATGAAAAGATAAATGAAGTGCATTGATAAACACATTAAGTTATAGTGAGAAATTGTCTTTTTGCCAGCTTTAAGTATGCCTAGACCTACTTAAAGACTAGATTTGCTTTTAGTCACTTCTAGTCACCTTATAATCACCCGAGTTATTAGGCCTATCACACAAATAGGCTTCAAGATTTAGCTATATAAGTTAATAGCTTGAGCAAAAATAGGCTATGTAGGCTACTATTTACAAGTTTTTATCTTGGTCAATTGATGGAATGGTATTCCAAATTCACCAAACAAAACCCATGTTAAAACTAAATTGTCTAGCCCATATCAAAAGACAGTCCAAGGCCTAAACTGAGCTTTTCATAATTTGATAGTTGGGATGCTTAATTTATATGTAAGAAGTCTTCTAAACGTATATGATGTTGGTTTATGGCATTTCATTAATCTCAATAACGCAATAAACATAAAATATGAAACAGAAAATTTAACCCTAGGCATCACCTCTAACTTCACTGACAGAGGAACACCTCAGCTTTTTACTACAATCCTATTTTAGGGGGGTTTGGATAGTTATGACTAAACTAAGTTACCAAAATATAATTTCAATGAAAGATATTTGTTTATATGGAATTGCAAACGACTGAAGAACCTTTAAAATCTTGATACTGAAACGTAGGGAGCAGAAAATAAATTGAACTCTAACCTCAATCCATTATGGAGACCTTTGTTCCTTCATCGGAGTTCGACTCCTGTAAGCAGTGGAAGCGCTGCTGGTAATACTCTACAAACGCCTTCACACGTGATAGTTTCGTATTAGGACCACTTTTAGGCCTCAAAGTAAATTAAATTTAACACAATTATGTACTTACCATTAAATATTATCATCTTATGAGGGAATTTACGAAACAGCGCATAGTTTTGCCTAGCCACAGCTTCACCATTTCATTTCCAATCCACACAGCTGAAAATCGAACTAACAGCTGATAAAACAATGACATCAAGAAGGCAGAGGACTAACCAAAACAAACTATGGGCACTCGTCAAAAATTGTGTAAATCAGTTTTAATTGATTTAAGTGGTACAATACACATAGGAAATGAAATAACTCCATCAGCAGTTGAAGCTCTCAACAGGTAAGTATTTTATTAAATTTTTTATGTCTTATCATGACCAAGTTAAGTCTCACTTTTTAGGTTATGACAAGAGTCTTCCTTTTTAAATAGGCCCTACCTAACCAAATTTCAGTTTCCTAAAAGCCTAACTAAATAATGTGGCAAAGAGTATTTTAATCCAGTAAGTTTTTATAAAATTAGGCTGCACTTTACTTGACGTCCTACACTCATTCGATTGTTTTTTCGATTCGATATTTTCATTCGATTGTTTCATTCGATATATCGTTTGGTTAGTTAGGTTAGGTTAACCTTACCTAACTAACCAAACGATATATTGAATGAAGCAATCGATTAATCGATATATCGATCGATATTTTCATTCGAATGAGTGTAGGACGTCAAGTAAAGTGCAGCCTAAAATTATTCTTGCTAAGCTATGTTTCAAGTCAAATTCTGAAGGATGGTGAAGTGTTCGAGGTCTTAACTAACAGTTTCTTAACTGCGCTATGCTAATCTCGACTAATAATCTATATTTATAAGGGGAGACCGGGGATACTTGATACATAGGGAGACTTGATACACCCCACCTAATTTATTACTCTATGGTTAGAATCAGCTGCAAATCAAACCAGATACTCTTTAGGTTGTTTCTAGTTTCCTGTGTTGTCTGGAATAATCTGCTGCACATGATCTGCATATGGTCTTGAAATATTTCATTTCCACACTTAAAAGTAAGTATTTCCTATATCTATATAAATGTGTCTCACGCATATAATTTATATTTTTTAGTTGAAATAACATGTTACATTGTAAGGTACATATTTAGTATATATGCTCTATCAACCTCAGCTCTTCTAAGTTAACCTCAAAGGAGATATGGAACTTGTTATGAAAAATGGTCATAGAGGGACACTTGATACAGTTTTCAAAGGGATATTTGATACACTGTATCAAGTCTCCCTATATTCAAATTCATCTTCTTTAGCCATTTTTTATAAATGTTTGTTATAAATATTTATATATCTGTGTCAAATACTGTTGGTTTTATTGGCTAAACTTGTAAAATGACCACTTTAAGTTTAACCTATAACTATGTTAGCTTGTGTGATTTGAGTTTGTAGTTACCGGTATTTTGCCATTTATTTTTTATTTGTGTAGTTATTTACGGCCTAATAGGTCTAACTTAATTAGCCCACTTATAACCTCAGACTTTATGAGCCTAGGCCTAAACCTAGGTAAAACTAGGTTACAACACTAATCCTTTGGACTAACTTGTTACTACAAGTGTTTTTTTCTTTTTTTTTAGATGCCGATGTTTTACAAACCGAAGCCTACTACCAATGTACGAAAGAAAATCTCATCTGAAACAATGGAGGCAGCTGTACGAGAAGTTGTTGACGATGGAATAGGATTGCGGAGAACAGCACTTAAGTATGATATCGACAAAATGACCCTTCAGCGGTATGTTAAAAAATTCTTGTCAAAAAATGCAGAACCATCTTCAATGACATTTGAGCCAAACTACCATCAACAACAGGTTTTTACAAAACAGGAGGAGACCATGCTTGATTTTCTTCCAGCCTCAACCACAGACAGACCAAACCCGGAGGCTTCTGAAGGAAACTCCTCAGACCAGCAACCCACCGGGCCTAATAACACGAGTTCAAATCCAGGAACGTCAAGCGATATTCCAACTGACAATTATTTATCTCCTGTAATAGGCCTAGAGATTGAAGTAACAAGTACTCCTGTCTCTAAGAACTTGAAAGAGAGAGAAGGGGAGCGCCACATTCTTACCCCTGAAGACATAGCTCCATATCCGAAGGCAGGTCCTAGGAAGGCCCAAAGAAAAGGTGGGAAGAAAAAGGGCAAAACTCTTATTTTAACAGACACCCCTGTTAAATTACAAATTGAGAAAGAAGTGAAGGAAAAGGAGGAAAAAAAGAATCAGAAGAAAGTGAAATTAAATTTGTTTACATCAAAAAGTAGGCCTGTGAAAAAATTTAAATCAAGCACAAAACATACGCAACCCTCATCTGAAGAAGAAGAGTGGGAGTCAAGTGGGAGTTCCAGTAACTTTGAACCAGAACCACTGTCGGAAGAAGAAGATAATTCAATAAATGTTGGAGACTGGGTGCTCGTAGCCTATAGGTCAAAGAAAAAGGTTCGTAGATTCGTGGGAGTCCTTAAGGAGAAAATTTCTTTTGATGAATGGAACGTTAAGTTTGCTCGCCACATCGAAGGCAGTAAGTTTAAGTGGCCTGATTGTGAAGACATCAGCTGTATCGATGACGGTCAAATTGAAAAAAAACTGTCACCACCCAAATTTCAAGAAAAAAATGACAGATTGACGTTTTCTTTTCAATGAAAAATTTGAAGGACTATGTATCGAATAAGACAAAAATTATCTTGACTTTGTTATGAAACATGGCCAATATCCGATGTATTTAAATATATCTATAAATGTTCTTCAGGTGGCCTAGTTATATTGTTAACGAAAGTAATGTTTATTTTGTGAAGGAAAACCAATTTGTAAGGTTAAATTTTGTCTTTTAAAAGTTCAATTATAGCCTAGACTTGTATTTTTAATATAACTGTAAGCTGTTTTTTATACTTTTTGAATAAAACCATAAACATATCTTGTGAGTTCTTACTATTATAACCAATTTAACCCTGTGTATCAAGTGTCCCCAAAGCTGTCTCAAGTATCCCACCCCTGGGGAGAATTGATACACTTTGCAGGCTTTTATTAAATAAAAATAAAAAAATATATAACATGATTTTTAATGTTTGAAACTTTGGGTTTAGCTAACCAAAATGTTCTGTTAACAGAAAAAACTGGTTAGGTGGTTCTAGGGAAAATAGGAAAAAATAGAAAAATATAAGTTATAAAACTGTATCAAGTATCCCCGGTCTCCCCAACTTATAAAATGAAACTGTGATAACCAAACCAAACTTACTGTTGATGACAAAAATCAAATGAACATTTACCAAGCAAATCGATAACTTAGTTTCAATCGATATTTAAATAGCCCAGTTATGAAACTGTACCAATTTGATTAACTTACTTGGATTCTTCATCTTTGACCTAATTAAGTAATGAGGTTGGATAGATTGTGTCTATTTGCATTAAGTTTACATAATTAAAAAAAAAACACTAACTTATAAGTTACATAACTTATACAACTAAGCAACAATGGCAGGAGTGGCGGTATTATTTACAAATCAAACATTTCTTGCCAGGAGTACAACCTAGTCGACTGAGCAAACACTGGCGTAGCGTTGACTTGAATCGCTTATTGTCAAGAGCAGGAACTCCTATTGGCAGGGGGGCAGGTCAAGATCACATGCTCTATGCGTTCTTTATTGAATTTCTCACCCCAAAAAGAGGGGGTACACTTAATTTCAGTCCCCTAACATCATTGCAACATACTATAGTAACTCCCCAGAGCCATCATAGCCTGTACATGTACACTACTCCCCTTATAAGTCAAAAAGGGGGACAGGTAGTAGGATGGGAATTGCTACATTGAACTTCTTGCTACCCCAACATCTTTGCAGCATACCAACTCCCAGAGCCATAAGCCTATACAAGTAAATTACCACCCTAATAAGTCAAAAGGGAGGTGTTTGTGAATGGGTGTGTGTGAATTTCTCATCCCAAAAATATGAGGGTTGGACAAAATTTCAGTCCCCATTTCACATCCTTCCACATCTTTGCAGCATACCAAACTCCCAATATCAAAATATGCAGGAAAAGGGGGGTTTGCCTCCTAACGGGAGAAGTGGGCAAGATAAATTGTACAAAAATGGTGTATTTGTATTGAGCCAAATGTAATTAATCTGATCAAGAAGTTATTTATAATTATTCTACAAAAAATATATATGTATATATATATATACTAAGGTGGGTACTGGAAGTAAAAAAGGGAGTTGTAGGGGGTGTACATGTAATTTAAACATGGTTCCATTAAATTATTCAACCCGAAAATAGGGGGTGTATGAGGTTTGGACTGTCTTACCCCAAAAATAGGGGAAATTTACAAGGATCAGGGAGAAAATCTCTGTCTACAATTTCCACTCCCCAGAGTCATACACCTTCCGAGTATTCTATATAGGCCTAAACATAGTTAACAAGTGTGTCCAAGGTTACTTGCCTAATGTATTAAGTATCATGTAACTTACATCATGCAAACAAATCACCACATCCAAAAACAAATTTTTGTCACATTTCTTTGAGTTGAAGATCTGAGGTCTTGTCAGCGAGGGTGTGGTCTGTCTCTCAATGAAGAAATAAGCTTTTATGTCTGTCGGAACCCCCTGAGCTTGATGATAGGCTGGCAGTTCCTGACACACAATTTTGTCTTTTACATCCCAGAGCTGACGTTCTTCCGGCAATTGCAGCCTTCACAATACCCAGGCAAGAAGGCTCGCATTAACCATAGTTATTTTAATACACCATCTCATCCTCAGCCCATTTTATATTGTTACTTAATATGGTATTATAGGCCCTATATATTAAAAATATTACAGCAAACAATGAACAACTATTTTGTATTTTAGGTTACGACAAAGTAATGTCAAAATAAAATTTGTTACTAATACCACCAAGGAATCTCGAAGGTGTTTGTATGAAAGGCTTTGTAAACTAGGCTTTCAATTGAAGATAGAAGAGATATGGAGCTCACTTTGGGCAGCAAAGAATGCAGTGTCAAGTCAATCTTTGAAACCTTTTCTGCTCATCAGTCCGGATGCTCTAGAAGACTTTCAAGGTAGGTAGTTGTTCCTCTATTTTTCTTAGGTTTATTTAATTTCGGTTGTATTCCCATTTTTTTTTCTTCTTGAACGTCGCTTAATGTAAGAGAGACAATTGTTCGAGGACTTCATTTAAAAATTGAACGACACATTAACTTAAAGCAATCCAGGTTAAAACTGTCCACTTTTCGCAAATGAATTTGATTAAATCACAGCTTTTATAACTTCTAACCCAATTTAAAGCCTGTAAAACCTTTTCCACCCTTGGTGGGAAATATACAAATACGGCTGAATTAATGGAAATGAAACACAAAGAAGACACGCCTAAATTAGTCATTAAGTGGACCATAAATGAGTTAGGTGAGGGAAACTCCCTAGTAGTCAGTTTTTTTAGATCCTGTTAGAAATATTGAACCAACTTAGTTTTGTGCTGTTTGGTGTTTCAGGTTTAGATAAGTTTGAAGGAGAACCTAATGCTGTAGTAGTGGGTCTTGCTCCGGAACTTTTTGAATATAAATCATTGAGTGAAGCGTTTAGGTAAGGAATTATAACTACCACAGCTAAAATTATATTTTAGAAATTAAAACATAATGTTCAATTTTCTACGAGTTTTTGAGCTCATTTACTTATTTTTTCCATAAACTTTTCATATTGTTTTCTCTGGTACCTAGTAAAAAAATTATATATAATAATGTTTGAAGTCATCAAGAACATTTAGGCTACAGCTTTAGGACTAAATTATTAAGTTTTGTCAAGTCCAAGAGGCATACACAATCCAAAAATATAAACAATTAACAATTATTTCAGAGGTTATCTATTAATTTTAAGGTAGGCCCTACATAGTTTTCACCAAAAATTTTGTTGATAAGCTACCTAAAATGTATTGATCGACATTGTCACTGCCATTTGTTCACTTTTTACGGATCTAGAAGAAAATACCAAAAGCTATCTAGGAGAAATTATGTACAGTAGCATTTAATTCAAGGATTTAATAAATCCTGCTTCTAGATTACTTCTAAATGGTGCCAAGCTCATCGCAATTCACGAAGCACGGTACTTCAAAGGTGAAGATGGAAAACTCGCCCTTGGTCCTGGTCCGTTTGTCAAGGGGTTGGAGTATGCCGCAGACTGCAAGGCACAAGTGCTCGGAAAACCTTGTCCCGAGTTCTTTCTTACTGGTCTAGAAGGTGTCGACCCATCAGAAGCAATTATGATTGGTGATGTACGTTTTATTGACAAATTAAGCAGTGTTTTAATCTCCCAATGTTATATTTTGTTTTAATGCAAGTATAATTGCTACATTTTACACTGCATTTAGTAATATACAACTAAGTATTAGCTATGGATAATCACTATACAATTGTAGGATTTCATTTTCAGTGAATCAAAATGGTAACATAGCTTAGCTAATTTGAGATATTTGAAAGCGTAAATCAATTTATATGTACCGTGTAAATTTTTTAGGAAACTCTTACAGTTTCATAAATCAATATGTTTGTATAATTTTCCAATTTTTTTTAGTGGAAGAGCATCTCTAATACACAGAAAGTTGTCCTACTCTAAGATCTATCCTAGTTTTTGAAATAGGCGAACAAAGAATCAAACTTGTACTATAATCTTCAAGTTAGAAGCAAATTGCTCCAACTACCTGACTAATCAAGTCCCATTTTATTTATCAGTATGTACAAAGGCAACTGGATCCGTTTTCAATCAATTATTGAGTAATAGCTTAGAATTACAGTAAACTCCCGATTATCCGAGGGATTGACTAGCAGATAAGCCGCAAAATTGCCGTTAATGGTTCAACAAAGGTCGAAGGCACAAACCAATGGCCTTGAATAAGTTTACTATACAAAAAAAGGACGTACCTGATAGCAAAACTTATGAATGTCATTTTTGTTATTTGAAAGGAATGTTTACTGTTTAAACAAAAACATATATCAGTCATTTGCTTTTGCTTTTTCGAAGCAAAACACTTTTTCATTTTTTTGTGATTTGAGTGTTCTCAACACACAAACAACTTGGACAAGTCAAAACTTTGTGCTTCACTAACAAAGCAAACATTTTGAACGATTGAGTTGAACTGAACTAATGCTGTAGTGATGTGTGTTTTGCGGGGAAGGGGGAGGGTGAGTCAACAGTGGCAGACAGGGCAAATGAACTCGCATGTGCAGATTACTCACTGGTCACATGATTCACTCGCACGCTAAGTAAACAAAGATCTGCAGTGCCGCTGGTAGCGCTCAAAACTGCTTGAGCACACACCACGTACAGTGGATACCGATATACTGTACTGTAATACTGAACTACTGTACTAGTTTTGTACTGTACTGTATTTGGGATTTACGATTTACATTGCGGTTTTGTGTTTAGTAACTTTATTGTAATGTTTTGGTTTACCTACATGCACTGCGGATAACCGAGAGTTTACTGTAGGCCTATTATTCATCTGGTTAGTTAACTGATAAAGTAAGCGTAACAAGTAAATAACCAAATCCACTCTTCTCAGATGTTTTATAGCTAGAAAATCTGTCACTAGTTCAAAGGTTCTCAGTCAAAAAACTGTCATAGTTTCAATCTTTTAGTAACAAGAGTCCCCTAGTTCCCCTATTTCATCATTCATTTTGTTAGTGCTAAGTAACATCATTAACCTATACCTACAACTAAATTGTAGTTTAAATTTCTTTAATCTGTTACCAGGATGTTCGAGATGACATTAAAGGTGCCCAAGACTTGGGGATGCGAGGATATCTTGTGAAAACTGGAAAATACCGGAATGGAGATGAAAACAAGATCGATCCCCCGCCTTACCGTACAGTCGACAACTTTGCTGCAGCCGTAGATGACATTTTACGAGAGTTGAATCTCTAAGGCACTTCAAGGCAGTATGAAAACATTAGCGATAATGTTAACAGTCATTTATACAAGTTAATGTAAATACATTTTATGGTAGGTAGTTAGACTGTATTGTTGAATAAATAAAGATATTTTTAATTGAATAGTTTTAAAAAAGTAAATTTTTCCTTACCTGAAAGTACAACAAATATGTCAAATAACACTTGTAATAATATATTTATACTACTGCTTACTCACATGACGGTAAATACATATAAAAGGTGGTAAATGGTGATGGATATTGATTGGATACTCCAATCATCATCAGACCAGGCTAAAAAACCTTTTCCTTACTATATCCTATAACTCTGGATACCTTAAGTGTTAAGGGTGTTAAATAAGAAAGGTGTGTTTGGTTACACCTAGTAGAGCTGCTGTCACAAACTGATCACAAAAATATTGTAGCACCAACATTTGAGGGAGGTTTGAGCCTAATCATCTTATCATGTTCACCGGATTTTAAAAGATTGTTAACTAGCCAAATTTACTGTTGTAATTTGTGCCTTAGTGACAAGTAAGGTTGGTCGTGATGGCGGAGGAATCGGTTCTAAAAAACACAAAACCGAAAAATAGGAAAGTGTTGGTAAGGCGAAGTAGTGAACATGGCGCAAATACTTTACTGAAATAGCCGATAAACGAAGAGTCTGCAGTTTAAAGGAATAAGTTGAGAACTACAGGTGAACAGGAAAATGACACTGCATTCAACACATGGATTTTACATGCCAGCTACTTAGCTACAAGTGAATAGATGGTGTCTTGAAATCTAGTGCACTTGCAAACTTGTATTGTTAATAGGCCTAATAAAATTGATGTACTTTACCCTTTAGGAGAAACTTAGTAACAAAGCTACACATATCATCTCATTCCCTTCTATTTACGTTGCAATCATTAAGCTTAAAATACGAACCCAAGTGTATGTCACTGACTCAGAGAATTTGTGATTGCTAGAAGTCAAAGAACATTTTAGTGGGCCAAAAAAACTCTTTTTTGTAAACATAATATATTATTTCCCATTTAGTTTATAAGTATAACATACAATACATGAACAACTGTCTCCCTGAGTAAATTTATAAAGATGAAAAATATATTTAAAATTGTAAATTAACATGATAAGGACTAAATCATAAAATATCACAGCCTCCTCTGATACAAGGACAGTATAAGGTTTGGCAATGCCACAAACCCCTTCATTCACCGGCCTACTTGTCAAAATAATAACAGTAGTAATAACAAACATGTAAACATTAGCTTTTCCTAGTCCTAGACTCAATATGAATTAGTGTTACAGCTGGTTTGGTAGGCAGGGACTGCGGCCCTCGCTAGGACAAATATGAGGGAAATGTTCCTCGCATGTGGGATGGGGTTCCTGTCTGTGCCTTGCATTAGAGGAGGTCATGAAAATATAAAACATTTTTTAATTGACTAGGTAAACCTAGGTAAAGTTTTGATTGATTTTATGAATCAGTTATACAATTAACCAATAATCAGTTTTTCAACAATGTAAATACAGTAGAACGTCGATTATCCGAATTAATTGGGGATTGGGGTTGTTCGGATAACTGATTTTTCGGATAATCGGTCATTGACAGGAAAAATACGGGGAACGGGAAATGATGGAAAGGGATAGCGGCCGGCGGCGATTTGCCGATTTCGTGTCTGTGGATACTGTACAATAATATAAATTTGATTAATTATAGAGATGTGCGAGTACTTGAGATTTCAAATTCGAGTCGAGTACGGCCTTTGAAACTCGAGCTTATTTTTTAACTCGGCAGTTTCGAGTCGAGTTTGGTTAAAATTGGTAAAAAAATCAATATTTGTTCAAATGTAGCTTGTGTTTACGTGAAATACTGGATAATATTTACTACTGTAGATTCTACAGTAATACAATTAGTTTTACATTGTAGAAATAAGCAAGAGGTAGTTGTCCTAACCTATTTTTTAGCTGCTATAACAGAATAGGTCAACTCAAAGCAGTCGCCGGCGACTGACTAGTGACTGGCAATGAAAAACAATAGAAGGGAGGGAGGGGTTGTGCAATGACCTCGAAGTGAGCGGGCGTAACACTGAATGAAGTAGGGGTTTGGGGGAAGGGGGAGGGTCAGACCTTTGAGCTATATTTAGACTTTCACCACTTAGCAGCCGTGCGGCGGCGTAGCGCTACGGCCAGTCGTGATTGGCGATTTTATTGATTTTTGCTTCTTTCTTCCTTTCGGTTAACCGACGTTTCGGATGACCGGGCTTCGGATAATCGACGTTCTACTGTACATATTTTAAAGATCTAGTTTTTATTTTTTTCAGAAACACTTATACTAGTAGTACCTTTACAGTGTGTACCAAAAATGTTTTAAGGGTAGAACTCGGGTTAGCCTGTGTGTATAATTATTATCACATTTGCTTTATAGGTTTTAAGGCTCATCTCACTTTTATGTAGCCATTTACTTCCATATACATTTCTAGATCAATTGTGTAAAAGGCTATTCTTTTAAATGCCACATTCAGTTTCCCTTAGAAGTTATAATTCATCCACACCGGCAGGAGGTATTGTTGGGTCGAGTCCAGCAGTCTTCATCTGGACCGCAATGTCAAACAGATAATCGTAGCATTCACACCTGAAACCCAACGTACTTTAATGGAGTTTGATGATTAAATCAAAACTAAACTATCATTGTACATTTCAATTTAGGGAACTACTTAATTTTCAAAGCTGACTTGGAATATGTCATCTTTCTTATTCTTTAAAACCACATTCATTTTCTATACTCTTGGATACTCTCAAAATGATACTCTGGATACTATTACATTCATCTTTCATACACTTGGATCTTATCACCTTTATCTTTCATAGTCTTGGATATTCTCACAATCATCTTTCATACTCTTTGATACTATCACAATTATGTTCCATGCTTGGAACTCACATCTTTTGTACTCTGAACTCACATTCATCATTCAAGCCCTAGGATAATCTCACATCATCTACATTCTTGATAGAATACTCTCAAATACCCTTGCATGCTCTTGGAGACTCTCAACATAATCCTTCACACTCGTAAATACTCTCACACAAAATGTTCAGATGTACCGGTATGCAAGCGGCTTCATTATTTTTTTTTCTCTCTCCTTTGATAAAAAATTATATACTAAAGATTTTTCATTATAGTCACAGATTACTAAATATTTAAATGTTTTGGAAACAAAGAGTGTTTTGTGTCTTACATGGTCTTGGCTTTTTCCCACGTATCGCCCCACACGTAAACGCCGTGTCTGCGCACCAACACAGCTGAGGTTTCCGGGTATTCTTCCATCACCTGTGCCATCCGATCCTTCAAATCCTCCTCCCACGGCGTGTTCTCAATGATCGGCACCACTAACATCTCGTCGTACATGTAGTTGCGACCAAGCTTTGGATTCTTTATGCCCTGAAATGTAGATGATTTGTTGTTGATTTAGTTTATCCATAGTGGTGGTTTTATTTTTTTTTTAATTCACATTTTTATAGAAAGATAATTTGTAAAATTGACATTGATGGTAAAGAAATAATTTCAGTTATTTAAAGCATTGACCTTAGGATACTGGTACGGAAGTATCTCATACATAATTCACAGTTTTTTTTTTAAATTAGGACATACAGGGTGGTCATAAATTATTGGACACATTTTAAGATTACATAAACCAACAACCAAGCAACATAGAAACTTGGGAATTGTTTTATTGAATGGAAAATTTAAAATAGTTTTATACAGTAACTGCAAAACAATAATTACATGAATGTCAATAATTATAAAAAGTGGTTAATTTTTTTTCCTCAATGACTTGTGTTGTGGCATATAAAGCATTGATAGCATGGCATAGTTAGCATAACAAAACCAACGATGGACCTTTCTACACCAGCTGTGTATGCTATTTGGTGAATCAAACCTTAAACTGACTTAAAAGTGACCTTTACTAGGGTTCAATAAAAAGAAAAATCTTTGGTTTAATGAAAGTAAATCTGCAATATCTGTTCGAAGGAGGTTTTGTTTGGAGTATAGCCGTAATTCCCTGTGTAAATTTTTTATAAAATGGTGGTACAGTCAGTTTGAACGACTGGAAAGTGTCCAACATATATTTTAAAGGGTCCTCATCTCAAAAGAACATAGCTTACAATAACAGTTTAGGTGATTTTGACTGTTTTTTAAAAACTACTTTTCATAATTGTTGACATTTTTATAATTAAATTTTTGTAGTTACTGTATAAAACTGTTTTAAATTTGCTATTTAATGAACTAATTTCCATGGTTCTATGTTGCTTGGTTTTTTATTTACATGCTTGGTTTTTTGTATTTGATCTTAAAATGTGTACAATAATTTATGACCACCCTGTATTTCAATTACTGAATTTTACAGAATATTCCACTCTTAAGTTTATACACTAAGTGTCTTATTTTTTTTTACTTTAATAATTTAAGTGACATAAAAAGATGCTATCGTTTAGAGGAAGTGGATTTTTTTTTACTTGGCATACTTTTAAGGTCATCAGATTTTACAGAAATCAGGGATCAGCATCAACACACTTTGTTGGTGGCTGAACCCAATACGTACATTGTCATTCTAAAACTGACTGCAACTTTAAATATCAAAATGCAACATCTAGTTCTATCAATGGTCAAAGATACAGGGCAAAAGGTTTATCTAAGATGGAAAATTTGAGGCACAATTTTAATTCATAAAACATTTGGCCAAATGTGGTTTTCACCTACACTTCCTCTACAATAAAATTCTATAAACCCGCTGTTCTGAATCAAAAACAATATTTACCGAATACTGGATTCCCATGAGTAGGACGGAACCACAACTAATTTGTTGTAACATCTTACCTTGATCATTTCCAAGTGTGTACATTTAAAAACTTTGCCTGGGTAGAGCAGAGTTGCCATTACTGCAGCCTTAGAGTGTGTGTGTATTACTGCGCCTGCGTTGCGAGCTGAAACACATCAGAATTATTCTACACACGCACACAACTTTTTTTTATCTTTACTGACTATTATATGACTATACTGAGATTGATGGCGAAAAAATGAATGCTGATTATTTAGGTGGACCGAAGCTTCTAGGTGTCAAGACTGTTTAGCCAAAAACCCTCTAGAAACAAATTAAACATTAAGGAGGAAACATAGGCTGTCTTAACCCCAACTTGATTCATTGTCATTACCAAAATCATCATTGTCTTCATCATAAAGTTGGGTTCCTGAATTAGTTTACTGAAACCTGTTGAAAGGAGGAACTGAGAAGCCTCCGTGCAGTGGAAGACTAGCAACATCATACGGAAGATGCGCTAATCGTCCATCAGGGATTATTTAAACATTGTGAACTACCAACCTTTGTATGCACACATGAAAAGAGGAGTGCATTGGCTTTTCTTGAGGTTTTTTGAACTTGGAGGCAATTCTAAGTCGTTACCGTCAATATCTTGAACAAACAAATCTTCAGACAAAATTCTTTCTTTTTGTACACCAGATGGTGCAATATAAATCTCCTTCCTGGAATAAAAAAAGAAATATATAAATCAGGTGCAACATAACCCTAGATGAGTATCGCACGTAAATTTGAAGTAGTGCGAGTTATTTTTAGCGTCTCACCCCCACCCTCTCAACCGACAATACCCTCCTTCCGGCAGTGCTCTCAGCAGTCATTTTCCTTGCGATGGCTGCCTTGGTTGGGTCATAGTGTGTTTCTTTATGCACTTGCAAGTCAGTTTCTTGGAACACATGTGTCAAACTTACGTGTCAATATACCCTTTGTGTATAGTAAAATGACCGGCTTGTGTATGGTAAGACGGCCGGCAGTACGTCAAATTTACGTATTGATACCCTTAGTGTCACACTGTATGACAATACCTTACTATGCAATTCCTATGTACGTCAAATTTACGTATTGATACCCTTAGCGCCATGCTGTATGACGATACCTTTCTAGGGTTAAACAGGAATATGTTAGCGTTCAGATTTTCGTCACTGTATGAATTTTAACTTTTATGGTCTAGTTGAATTTGACCATTAAATGACACTAGGTTTGGTATCATTGTTTTCAGTGTGTACGTGTGTGTGTTTTTAATGTTAAACCTATTAATGGGCATTTCAAGAAATGGTATCTTTACTTCATTTTTTACTGTGCAAACTTGGTAAGTACTACTTTAAAATTAAAATATAGTAAAGCATATTCACTTTTGTGCAGAATAATGTAGCCTAGTTAGAAACTCTTTAATCACTTCTAATACTCTTAGTATTCATATAAGCACTAGACTGCATCTATGTCCAAGTTTAATTTCCCTATAACAACTAATAAATTACTGTGTCTCAGTCTATCAATTTTGTAACTTAACCAAAACAAAAACATGTACCGGTAACTTTTCGTAGACTTAGGTTTTGAAATACACCCACCCTAAAACCCCTTCACTTTGCTGTCCCTCATTATTTGACGACAAAGCTATTTAACCTAGATAGCCTAAGTAGTTTAACCTACAGTAGTTTAACCTAAGTAGTTTAGTCAGTTCATGATAACTTAAAACAACTTATCTACCCATGTTTGATGCTTATGCCTCCTCCTGTCCCCGTAACCCAGCCAAGATCATAAAATTGTTTACAAAGAGAAGGGATCAGTTTTCTTGGATGTTCATTCTGGAAAAAAAAATTATAAGTATTAAATACCACTTTCCTGACTCATTTTTATTAGGTTGTCATCTACCCATTAAGTCAATTAAAAGTACAGCTAAACAGAATGAAACTAGTGCTTAGTAGGTACTAGTTTGAATAGCCGAGTGGTTTTAGTGTTTGTCTTCAAACCTGGAGATCACTGAGTTTTATTCCAAGTGAGATTGTTTATTTATTTATTCTCAATGGCAAACACCATTTTACAAACAATACAATATAAAATTCAATACATTAGCAAGCAAGCAATAGCAAAAGTAATTCTAAGGTAGCATTTTCGAGCAAAACAAACAGAGATGAAATAAAAAATTAGAAGAATTGGGCAAAACCCGGGAACATGAGCAATAAAAAAATACAAAATTAACAAGAGAAGAAGAAAATAAAACCTACAACCTATACTTGTGTAAATATGATCCGCGGCAGTAGAGTAGAGTTTTTAGTAGAGTGACACTGTCTTGTAACTGGTTTAGAACACTCATTTTGGGAATGGAGGCGGAACACACAATACTACAGACTATCATCAACACTCTACTCTGTGTGAACAGTCGCTTGCTTAAAATCGGTAGAGTGGACAAGAAAGTAGCTCTACTATAAACTCTACTCTACCCACAACTCTACCCGTATAAACCAGGCTTTACAGCCATGCCACACTGCCCTCCGCGCCGTAACATTATGTTCACTTCAGATTTGTTGAGCCGATCTCTTATAGCTGTTTCAAATGGAGCAAAGCACACAGCCGCAGACATACACTGCCGATTCCAACAGAAGCTTCTGATGATTTTTTTATAATTACCAAGTGATTGCCCGGGAACAGACGTAACATTATGTCTGTGGCCTCACATATGCGCATTGGACTCATACACATGGCAAATGACGAGAACTGGGTCTAAATTGGACTGTGCGACGTTCACAGGCATCTGTCCAGTGTGTCTTGGGCATCTGCAGCGTAACTTTACATCGTAGACGATGTGGGACCGCCTTTACAGTTAGGTCTATTTAAGTTAGATAATTTTTGACAAAACTGACCTAAAATATATCACTACTGTAGAGATCAGTGTCAAGTTAGTACTACAGAAACAGTTTCAGATTATTAATCTCATATAGCCTATTTCATCCAACTGTTTGCATTTAAACGTAGAGGGGTCAGCCAAACCAGTTAAAATCCTGGTAGTAACAAGGCGGTCACAGCGGGGATTTCATGCAACCAAAAATGTAGGCCTATCATCCTTGACACTGTTAACCACACGCATTGCAATTGATAAGGTGCTCCAGCGTCAAGATTACCTGCCCTTCCGCTTTCCTCTCGGTATTTGGCTGGCTGGTTTGTACAGATTATTATTTAGAGCAGGTTGATACTAGACCACCATGATACTGGAGTCATTGACCCTAGGGCCTAGGCCTAACTTATATAGGCTAGTAAGAAAAATTAAAAATTGTGGAAATGGAGGCCTAGTTGGGTTTATAAAACAAGCCAGCCGTATAACTCAGATAAACACTGTAAGCTTGTGACATTAATTTTAATTCTTTCTAATAGAATGAACACTTAACTTAAAGAAAGTATTGACAAACGCAGGATATGAGCACAAGTAGACTCCTCATCCCATTGTAAATTTTGAAGCTTGTTTTTTGTGTCTAGTTCATGTACGTCCACACTGATCGCTGGGGTAGGCAACATTTTGTTTCTATTATTTTAGGGTTGTTTTCATGATTTGCGCTTTACTATTTGGTTATATAACTAGGAGACCAGTTATTGTTTATGATTAAATCATTTTATTTAGTTAAATTATGTTTTAAATGACTGAAATAACAAGAAAAAAAATTGTAAACAAAACATAACCTCTACAGTTGGACGTACAGAACAAACAATAAAATTAGCTTCAGCTGTTCCATAAGGATGAAAAATCTACTAAGGGAGTATGATTTATCTATGATATGAGGTAGGCCTAGGGCCTATTAGTTGGTTAGTTAGTAGGCCTAATTTGTATCGGTAGGTAGCCTATTAAGGAAAACGTCTTTAATGCATTTTCTTACCTCCAAAGTCATGATTTGTGTGAGTAAGAGTAAAAAATAATAATGTCACTGATGGACTTCAGAAAATATTTTTTATCGACAAATCACAAAACAATAACACAATCAGTTAGTTCTGTTTATGTGGTTTCAAGCAGTGAAGTTTTGAAAACAAAAGTGAAAAGGAAAAGTGATTAAGTTAAGATTAGCCTCTGCTGTCTGCTCCCGTTGACAGAACAGAACCGAACCTTAACCTAACCTAACCTTATCTTTTTATCCTTATCGGATAGTGCTGGGTTCACAACAGACCAACCGTATGATTCGGTTGTGTGTCGAAGAATATCGAACATGTTGTAAGTCGTATCTGTAATCGCATTGCATCGCATTCGCATCGCACTCGCACAAGCTTAAGCTAACATTGGGATCGGATTGGAGTGCTGTCGTCGTGTCGTCTGCCGCTCAGCTCAAATGCAAATGTGAAATAATTGATTGAGGTTAAGTTACTCAGCTTATGTTTTTATCTATGTTGAGGAATTTCAATAAACTTAGTTTATTTAGTTATTCCCAATTTTATAATTAAGTGAGTTTGAAAACGCTTTGCCCTATTAGAGTCAAACTATTAATAGCTTAACTGAATCAGCAAAATAAAAATATCAAATCAATTGCGCAAATTATGATGTCTTTTAGAAAACCAATTTAGGCCTTTTACTTATGGTTTCTGAAGTTCAAATATAAAAAACCAAATATTATTACTCCAGAATTATTATTCTAGGTTCCAATTATTGTTTGGGGAGGAGGGGGATTTATTTACATACAATTCCCCCATTGATAATTATATTAGGATGTAGCCTATTTAAGTTAATACAAATAAAATTAAAAGTATGCTGGTCATATAAAAGAATGAAACTGACACAATAAGTTAAGATAGGTAAGTCATATAGTATGTTGGAAACAGAGCATATTTTAAGGGATTTCCACTGGGCAACAGAGGCGCCGGACTTACCGGGTGGTACGGTATGTGATACCGGGGCCGGGTCGGAGGGTTCCCCCGGAAATTTTTGCATAACTTGAATTAAAGTGAAAAGAACACATATTTCTACGCATCTTCTAATGAATTTTTCGATTATACTTATTCGCTTGTAAATAGTCCATATAATCTCACTTAATTATGTACCGGTATCCTAGAATGTCATAACAGGCCAAGGCTCCCTTCACAACCTCTTGGGCCAAAATCATAGCTCAATAGCCTACTCTAAAATATTTACATATATATATTTTTTTTAATTCGGATACATTTCAAATGTGAATTATTAAAAAAAATATGCTGGCACCACCCATTGTCACTGGCCGACAAAATCTCAGCACTGTGTCACCCATTTAACATGTTATTTTATATGCCCTGTGTTGGAATGTAAAATAAAATAAGGCCTAAATAAAAGCTTGCTTCAGCCTGAAACTTAAGTGTGTTGGTTAGGTAAAATTTTAAAATTTAACAAATTTTACCTTCAAATTAATTCATAGAAAACATCTTTTTAACAGGCCTTCTGGAGAGTGGTGAAAAAACAGTAACTTATTTACTCTTTGCATGCATCTTTACTAATCAAATTCATTCAATACTTACCTACTAGAAATAATTATTTCAATAAGTCTTGTTAAGTTAGTTATTTTTTTCTGTATACAAATGTTACAGCTTTATTTGTTTTAATCTACTTATGGATTGTAGGCTACTGTAACTTAAAATTGACTAAAATACAGCCAAAATTTTAACTAGAAATGTTGGCATTCATTCTTATAATCCCACCAAGATGCCTTAACCTATTAAGGTTAACTTAGACTATCTGGGTGAGGTTTTAATTACCTTAATTACCACTGCGTTGCCGATGACAGATGATTAGGATAGGGGTCCTCCAAACAATTGACCTTTAATGAACGACAAGATATCTTATTGTAATTATGTTTATCTTAATTATGTGAGTGTGAGTCAATTAAGCAAATTTGGTTAGATATTGTATTGAATTTGGATGCAAAGAAACGTAGCCTACAATAAAGGAAATGGGATCCACTTTTACAAGTAAGTTTTAAATAATTACTTACTGTATCAAGAAATGTTGTCGCTAACTTAAGCCGGGTTTTCCTAGGCGCGGAAGCGGAGAGAGGAACGCGGAGAGTGGACTCCACTTGTCTTAGGTAATTTAATGTTACTGTTTTCCTAGAAACAGAGCGGAACACCATGTTAATCTCTTTTCCGCGTTCCTCTCTCCGCTCTCCGCTTCCGCGCCTAGGAAAACCCAGCTTTATGCCTAGACTGGTTAGGGCTTCAGATAACTTCTTACTGTTTAAAATGAGAAGTGCATTTTAATTTGAACTATTAATTAACTGAATAAAATAAATTCTTGTATTTTTATTTTGGTAATCATACCTACTAGCATGCTACTACAGTAGCCTATACTCGCACCTATACTGACAAGTAGTAGCGTCAGCTCTATTTATCAATCATAGGCCCTTCATAGCTATTATGCTATTATTTACATTTCCAGGTTTAGGTGTTGAACTACAATGTATGTGGATTTATGGAAACTAGGCCTAAAGGTTACTGTGAATTGTTTAACTATTTTTTATCTATTTCAGATTTCTATTAACTCGCCCAAAGCTGTTGAAATCCTGGGAAAAGGCTGTCAAAAGAAAAAAATCTGAAAGAAACTGTTTAGTATTGATTCTTTGCAGTAGACATTTATCTGATGATGAAGTTAAAGTTAGATAAGACTTGGAGTACTTGTCAAGCTCCTTAAAGATGACGCTGTACTCACCGATTGTGTACAGCAGTTCAGAAAAAAAAACACAGCCGTGGACAACTTTTCTATGGATAGCCTGATATTGTTGAGGTAAGATAAGTTATGCTTTTACATCTTAATTATATATTAAGTTAAGGTTTTATCATAATAACATAATGATCATAATAAACCTAACCTAACTCTGCAAAGCGCTGTACAGTGACATTTCAGGGGGTTACAGAAAAACTAAGGCCTAGGTTGTTTGACAGTGACTGACTGACCATTTGAAATGTAATCGTTGCCAGTGGTCGTGCCCCCATCTGGTATTACTTCACCAGAGAAGCAGTCCATCTTTAAAATACCGGTACCTTAAAATGAAAGTCTTCTGTGCCTTAAAAAAATGTTAAGGTTGTTTTCATGTATTATAAGATCGTAGGAATAGGCCTACTTAGTTTTAGGAAAAAATAAGCTGGCATAGCAAAATTTCACAGTCACAGAAATCGGTGCTTATCAGCTACGGTAACTTAAAACTTATGATAATATTTTCGCCTTAAAACTCAAGCAGACATATAACCCTATCAGAACTACAATACTGTACTACCTACTATAATATTCAGAAATAATTAGGCTGTTGTCCTATTAAAGAATACAATTTAGCCTACAGTGTCAACATTTTCAGGTGCTAAGTGTCTTTATCGTTATTCATGCAATGTTTTAAAGTCCTCAGATTATCCTAAATTTTTCCTTCTGGATCAATATCTGCCATATGAGTCTGGTGACAACCTTACTTAACATAGGCCTAACTGCCACAGTGAGAGTAATAGTGACACTAACTTATTACTCTCACTGTGGCAGTTAATAGTGGCTGTAATTTTAATGAAATCCCTGTAAAAAAAAACAATAAATTGTATTAGCTAATTTTGGTTGCACTTCCATATAAGGCCTGTGGCACAGCAACATGGAAGTATTTAGTGTAAAGTAATTTTGTTATCTAACGGAACTTTGAAACCTAACTATACCTGATTTAGTATTCTATTATTTTTACTTTAATTAGGCCTACTTTTACCTGGTGTCAGCGCAAGTGTAGCCTTGATTTTTTAATTTTTACAGCTCATTTCAGTAGAAGCGAATTATTATCTCACACTCACAGTTTTGTCTAGTTTGGTTTAATCTTGATTGGTTTTTTGATTGAAACTGTTTAAAAATCTGAATCAGTAAGGACCACCTCTTACTTTTTTAATCGAGTAATGTTTTAAAAAAAAAAACTAAGGCCTTTTTTGTTTCAGACTCCAATTGAACCCATGGAGATTAAGACGCCAAGACAAAGCACAGGGAAAATCAAACGGAAATCAGCCAAATCCACCACAGCAAACACACTCAAATTGATAGTTCAGTTTCTCCAATGAAAAAAACTCCAAATGTAATGGCCTAAGACTTGGATAAAAGAATCACCTTGTTTTTGTGAAATGTTTAAATACACTGTATTTGGACTAATTAATTTGTTTTATTTACTAAACCTCAACTTCCTCATCAATAAAATTTCTATTGTGCCTATTGGGGTTTCTAAATTAGTTAAGTTACTCTTGCAAAATATATTTTGTTTTATTTCACAGTCATTGTTTTTTAATATTTTAATTCTTGCAATTTTGAACTTTAAGTTATTCAAAATACTTAACTGTCCTTCAGCATTGGAATTGTGCAATGTCAATGTTTCACAATAATTATAATTGCCTAATGAAGATCTCAACTTATAGCGAAGACAGTCAAACGGTAACAGTGGTAAAAAAATAACATTTTTTAGGACTCCAACATGGATTTTTACATAGCCTAACTTGAAAGAATCTAAGTTTCAGAGGTTTACTGTTTTCATGCGTCTTGTTATTAGCCTAAACTTAATATAATATAAGCTATTTTGAAATTTATTTAATTACCCTTAAAATGGTGATTCTAATCTAGTAAGGAATAATTTCTGGTATTGTGTCTTTAAAAGTATGATATAACAAATTCAAGAATTTTATAAATGTAGCCTATTAGTGAGTGAATCAGAATCATAGCCTACAGTAATAGGCCATAAATTGCATTCATGGTTCATGGTTCACCTTAAAAGGCGTTCATGGTCATGCCTTAATAAAAATAATATATTACTTTTATTTGCTTTTACATACAGTTCTGCAGTGCTAACAGATTGTTATAATCAAAATTATTTTAACTGTATTTAAAAAAAAAACTACATATCCTATTACTTTCAGGTCATTTATGATTAGTTAGAAACGTTAAAGTATGATTTTTAGCCAGGATATATACTCTCTAGTTATAAAACAAAGGAATGCTTGCCATACTAGAAGCTTGATTATAAATATGTTTAGAATTTTATTTTGGGCCCCAAGAACTGAATATGCAATGAAAACCTACTCACAGTTCAGATGTTCAAATGCAATTTATCATGTAGATATATTACATGTATCTCTGAACTGTGGCTATTTCAGGTAATTGTAAATAAAGACTAGTATTAACAGAAATGTTATCACCACAAAACGCATTTATTTAACTTTTTTCAAGTAAGAACTCGAGGGTTGAACATGCGCTATCAGCCCATTTATTAGCATGCAATGTTAAATTTCGCGCCAACTCCGGCCTCACGGAAACATGACGGGCGTATGACGCGGTGGTGGGAGAAGGCGCGCTGGTGGGTGGTGTTACGAGAGACAAGGGTTCGTGGAACGGAAACAAGGTAGGCAACCATTTATTTCACTTCACTCTCGCTCGTAACGTAACTTACGATAACAACATCGGTTCGATTCTCTACGATTACGATTTCGACTTTCAGTTGATAACAATCGAAACACAACCGAATCATACGGTTGGTCTGTTGTGAACCCAGCACTATCCATCTTTATCCACTTCTTTATCTTATCATATTTTTTCCTTTTAAGTTTGCATGTGGGTTATGGTATGGTTTGAACTATGAATACATGAAGCCTCTAACTACTCTGTTCTAGTGAAGAGAAAAACACTAAATTGTGGCATTGATTATATCTGTTATGGCTTTGTTACTTCAGTTCCAATTCAGTCTAAAGAGCTTATTTTCTTGGGGTAGCAGAATTTCCCCAGTGAAATTTTACCTCCCGTGCAAAACTGGCATCGCAGCCTAGGGGGTAAAATTGCGGCCGTGAACGTTTGTTTAAGTTGCACAACACGAGTTGAATAAATTAAAGGTGGAATTAAACATCTTTTCACGGTTGACCTAGAGCACAGATAATATAACCATATTATCTGTGCCTAGAGTGTACTGCCCGGATTTTCCGGACCCAGGATTATATTTTTACCCCCGGATTATAACCACCGGAATTTTACCCCCTGGTCTCCTGGCCAGATATAGAATTTGATGAGAATAAATAATGTTGTATAAAAGGCATTTTCAAATAAAAGACGTATTATTTTTGCTGTTCCTATTACATTTTGTAGACAAATTAAATATTTTAACAAAATAATTCAATGTATGCACACACTTAAGTTTTCCTACTGTTTCCTATAGAAAAATATCAAAAAAACAATCGTCATATCCTTAACGCACTTTAAAAATTCGGCGGCAGAACCTAGGTTTAATACATCAAAAGATTGTGGAATCTTATTTAAGTCCATAATCAATTACACAAATTAGAACAAATTAATCAAAAGTACCACATCCATTAAGTACAAAATTAATTATCCTCGCCAATTTCTCTATCTGACGAGGGGGTAATATTGTGGTAATAAAAGTCCAGGGGTGAAATTCCGGGGGGGAAATTCCGAGGGAAAAATTTCGGGGGGTAAAATTCTGGGCCGTACACCTACGCAGTACCTGTTGTTTAAACCCCTAGTTAAATGAGCAGGGCGTAAATTTGGGTCACCGGAATTTTACCCACTTGACGTCACTATGTGCCATAGTAACCTGAGCGCTCTAAAGTTTGTTCGCGGGCTGAATTTACCCCCACGGATTTGGGAAACTAACGAAAACTAGAGGCTTATAGGGACAAAAGTCCCTATAGCTCAAATGTAAAACAAATTATTCTAATATTTAAACAAACTCAAAATCAAATTATCTATGTGTCAGGATAGATATCCCAGAACAACATATTTTTTGTGTAAAAAAGTTTGTTGTTTGTCTTTGTTTGCCTGGGGTTTTACCCCCAGACCAGATTGGCCTGTAATAGTAATATTATTCAAATTTAATGTCCTTCAACAATAGTTCTGGGGTAAAATTTCGGCCCGTACACTCTAGGTTGTATAGCTTAATTTGTTCTGATTAAATTCACAGCCGTGAAAAGATAGTTTAGTCCGGTCTCAGGTGACTCATTTGCTTTACTATTAGATAGTTAATTTATCTTATTTATTTATAAATGTCAGTAGAATTTTAACGGGAGAGACAATCTTTGAATTTCCACATTGTGCTTGGATTTATTTAAACTTCTTCACTCATTTGGAGCATAAACTATAAACATGCTCCTAACTATTCTTTGTCCTTGATGGGTATTCACAATCTATTTTTAAATACATTGTTGAATTTTACAATAGGGTCCCATAGCTCCTAACCCTTTGGCGTCTAAAGCATTTTCTTACCATATTTCGTCTAAAATCATGTATCTAAAAATAGTCTGACGTGATATGTGATGAACTAGCTATAAAATTGTGCTATACAGTAGTGTAAAAATCATGCAGCGTCCATTTTCCCGTTTACGACAATAGGTATAAGGCAATGTCTAAAAGCGTCAAAACTGGACTTCTCACATATGTCCTAAAAGGTTGGAAAGACACCAATAGACACAGTTTATGTAGGAACTCCCTACTCGGTGACTTACTACAAAATGGTTCATATACACACAGCACAATGAATCCAGAATTACTAACAATATTAATAATAGCATAATGCTAACAGTAAGTGAAGAATTAAATGTGTTGCAACTTCCAGTGTCTTTCTGTATTGAATAACCTACCCTAATCAAAATTAATATATGTGTGATAGTCAAATTTGCTGTGATGTGGTAAGTAAACATGGACGCGTTGCAGAAAGTCAACAGTCCCGGAAGGTCAAATAATTTATACATGTGCCGCTAGGTCAAAAACTACAACGTTTGCAGTGTCTGTAGATCAAAAATCCCAGTAAGTCAAATAGTACAGTCCGAGCTAAAAACGTGGTCTATGTTAAAGCAATTGACTTATTGGGAATTTGACCTAATGCAACAGCAGTTTTAATATAACGAAATAAGATAAAATATAAGTTCAGTTTCGCTGAGTCAACAGTGCCGGAAGGTCAAAAGTATAATCTGTTAAAAACAACGATAGTCCTCTAGACGCATGACTTCAATAACTTCGTGTTTTGGTGTACTTAAAGTTGTGCTAAAATTTTGAAAATTGGCACAGAGCTTCTTGGTTAGTCCTACTCGATGTCTATTTTGTTGGAACTTTAAACTATTTACCGATCTAATTAATAAAAATTTATATGTATGGTGAAATAGTTTTAAATCGTGATTTCTAACATGAAAAAGTTAGCATGCGAGATTTTTTTTTGTTTTTGGGTTAGACAGGTTTGTCTGTGGCAAAGTTGTAGCCAAAAGTGTGATGCGTAAAATATATTTTTTTGAATTTTTTACAATCAGTGGTTCAATAGATAACTTGGGTTGAAGAGGACGGCAAATTTAGCATTTCGCAACGCATGGAAAGAACTACATCGTACGATGCGACTGCTGAGTGGACTTTTAATTTACACTTCTAAGAACAAGAAAAAGATGAATATACAGATCACCAGTACATTCATATTATTTATAAAACATCTTTCTGTATTACCAGCTTACATTTTTCACTCATAAGAATACATCATAAACAGGGTGTTAAAAATAAGCGGGGAGATGCATTACCTAGTAATTCCTTGGGTCAAAATAAACAGAAAATCGAGGATAACATTTTTTCCGAAATCGTTTCGTTAACCAGATATCCACCATTTTGTATTTTTTACATACAAATATTTATCTTTGCACTTTTCCAACCGTGGTTTATGAAACTTGGTATGTATGTTAAGGCAGGAGATACCCATGTTATAAAAAAAGATTCATCTCGATTCACCCTAAAATTTCAAAATTTAACACTTAAATACAATATAATACACAAGATGAAAATATAATATACTTTACTACACCACAATATTTACGTATCACCATAAATATTTAACAAAATAAAACGTTAAAATTTTTAAAATCCAAAGTAAATCAATATAATCTTTCTTTTTAGCGAATTTCCCTATAGGGAAGTAGCTATTACCGTAGGTCTCATGGTAACACTTAGGCCCGGGACCGATTTACTTTTTCATTTTGATGTCCCCAGAGGCCAAAAACACCATTCGTTCAAATTTTTATATATGTATATATATATATATATATGTGTGTGTGTCCGTGAACACGATAACTTGAGTAATTTTTATCCGATTTTGATGAAATTTGGTT